TATCATGGTTGCCACATGGATGCTCTGCGGGAATGGATGGAGTCTGATCTGGACGTTATCATGGCTGCCCACATGGATGCTCTGCGGGAATGGATGGAGTCTGATCTGGACGTTATCATGGTTGGCACATGTGGACGTTATCATGGTTGGCACATGGATGGATGGAGTCTGATCTATGGGCCACCCATGGATGGTTTGGGCGACGTGGGCTGACGTGGGCTGTAGAAAGTGCCGAACACACCGTAATTACCGGTGTGTTCGGCATATGACCCTAAGGAAACACCGTAAATACCGAGGGAAACGGCAGGTGCAAAATGTGGGTTTCAGTAGGTGCCGAATATACCGTAATTACCGGTGTGTTTGCCATGCGACACGAAGGAAACACTGTAAATACCGAGTCAAAGGAGGCGCGCAATCTGCGCGTGCACAGCCTGCTGGAGGGTATAACCACACCTGAACCTCCAAGTAGCGTTGGGGGGTGTACGGTTGAGGGTTTACTGTCGAGGCTTAGGTTCGGGGCTTGGAGGATCTGAGGATTAAGACACTGCTAGAAACCCTAAAACCCTAAAACCCTAAACCCCAAAAACCCTAAAACCCTTTAGGGCTTGGACTCTCACGTGCGTGGCTCTCCCCCATCTTTCTCTTCCCCGCTCGGAGATGCGCCCGCCGGTGCTTCACGTAAAGTCCTAGCAACTCCGAAACCTCAGTACAGTTTAGGGTTTAGGTTTTAGGGGTTTAGGGTTTAGGGCTTCCTTTGAAGGCTCATAGGGTTTAGGGTCCAGGGCTCAGGTATGATTGTGGAAGCTTGGAAAAAAATTACCTATATGAGCTCTTCGGGTGCTTTAAATGTAAGTGTCTGATCAAAACCCTATTTCAAAAACTAAACGCCCATACATTAATGTAGGGGCCTTAGAAATTTCAATAGGGTCTTGGGGCCCACTATACTATAATGATAATACGGAGCCACCGGAACAATATAGGTGATTATTCAGGCCCCTATATATTCCGCCTGGAGCACTGGGGCCTCCCATCGAGCAGATCTGCAATGCTGAGATGCCGACGCACCAGAATCTGCGGCGAGAAGATTTTGGGAGTTTCAGAAGTTGGGGACCCTTTTCTTTTGTACCCTGAATAGTAGGATCTTTGCTGTAAGGACCCCAGAAACCCCCAGTTTGGGAGGGCACCCCAGTTGCTTGGGGTCGAGAGTTCCATGCAGAATAAGAGGAGTAGCAAGAAAGCAACATCGACCGGGAGTGTCACACATAGCCACGTTGATGATCGTTAACGCCATCACACTCATCACCCATCATCGCCACCATCATCATCACCACCATCGTCACCATCATGGAAACACCAGCCGCGCCACAAGCAGAATCCACACCTGAACCCTGAGCTCTGTATTCAATCCGGAGCCGAAGGGCCCTTTATAACTTTACCACCGCCCTAACCCGGGTTTAGGGTTTAGTGTTTAGGGCTCTGACCCCCACAGTCCTTCTAAGCCAAACCCTCGACCCTCACAAACCCTGAGCCTAAAGTCCTAAAGCCGTAACCGCTCAGCCTCCGACCTTAAGGCCGACACCCGAAAGCCCTAATTCTTAAGCCTTCATTCCTAATCCTTGGCCTTCAACGCTCATACCCCTTTAAGCTTTAACCCTCAACCCTTCAACCCTCAAAATGCCTTGTGAACCCCCTTATAACCCATCGCACTTCTTAGAAACTCCGAAAGATCCTGTAAAACCCAGGAAACCGTCAAACTCTGACTCTTGTCGAAACACATCCAACTCATGGGTATATAGGGCACGAAGAATGTTCGTCTCAGCCTCGTTGCATTCAAACAAATCGGTGGTTTAGGGGTTTAGGGTTTAGGAGTTCAGATATGTTTCAGGCGCTCTGATCTTAAAGCTTCAGCGGGCCTGATAAGGGCTCGAAGAAGATCCAAACGCCGTAGACACCCTTGAAGACCCAACACCCTAAACCCTGAGAGTAGCCCTTAGCAGACCTTGGTGCAGCAGCCCTTGTATGGAACCTGAACAGCAAGCCCTAGTTGTAATCCAGCATGAAAACCCTAAACCCTGCACCCTGAAAGCTTGAACCCCATCCCAAACCCCAAACCGTCTGACCCCAAACCCGCAACCCAAAACCCCAAACCCAACAAAGCTCCCTGGCCTGGGTAGGCGTTTCCAGCAGCTCCCGTGTCGTTGGGATGTCCGATGCTGCCCTCGAGCAGAGAGTTTGTTGAGGGTTATCGTATGGGGTGGGGTCAAGGGTTTCGGGTTTCGGGCCTAGGGTTTTGGGTTCCGGACTTGGGGTTTCGGCTTTGAGGTTTCGGATTTGGCGTTTAGGTTATGAGCATCACCACATCGCCAGAACGCTCACCGCCGCCAGCGACCAATCGCAGAAGGCTACCACGGCCACCATCGTCGTCATCACCATAATCATTACCGCCACTGTTGCCATCACCATCACCATGGCAATCATCATCGTCATCATCAGCAGCAGCTGGAGGAGCAGAACCAACGGCAGCACCATTATGATCCATATCTTTGTCTTCCCAAACATTGTCATGTTCCACGCATCGGTCATGGCCACCTTCATGAGCACCGTCGGTGCTACCATCATTCTCAACACGGTCAACATCTAGATCAGCATCAACATCACCTCCATGATCGTCACGACTGCTACTGAGCCTTGCACATAGTGATCCTTAACTACTTATAAGATAAGGACCAGAAGAAGAAGGGTAGAAGTTGATGTGCTACTTTATACTACACTATACCATACTATGCTGTGTGCTCTACCAGGCTTAGGTAGGAACTTCCTGCCCCAAACCCCTGCCCAGAAACCCAAGATTCAACCCTAAACCCTAACCCCTAAACTCAAAGCCCTTAAACTTTTGCCCTACCCGAACCCCTATTAGACGTGAACCCTAAACCCTAAACTCTGAACTCTAAGCCCCAAACCTGATGGCAACCCGAATCTCGGTCTCCCCACTGGCGGAGCTGGGCGTCCAGGGCGTTGAAGTCGAAGGTGCGGAAGCCTCGGGCCACTGAGGTAGGATTCTGGGGTTCGATGGGGCCGATGAACTCTAGAGGTTTGGGGCTTTCTGCAGAGTTTTGGATTACCTACTACTGCAAACTGTTCAGACCTCTATATGGCTATGTACGGATGCTCTAAGCCGCAAGGATCTTGGGCGTTGAGTACCGTATCAGTGTTGCTTGTTTGGGCCTTGAAGCGATTACGCAAAGCCCCGGGTCCACAACCCTGAGAGCCCTAGACCTTGAGCTTGAAACCTCAACAAGCGCAAACCCCCACGCCCCAAACCCTGAGCCCTAAACCCCCGTAAAAGCCAATCCACTCAGCACCTAAGTCGCCAGCTATCCATGCCGTCGCGCCTGGGAAAGATTCCATTCGGATACCCAGAGCCTCCAAAACCCCTTAATTAAGGAATATACCTTAAATTATAATAGGATCCCGTATATGATTTAAGGTATATTCCCTAATTAAGGGGTTTTGGAGGCTCTGGGTAGGTCCCATATCCTGTTTTCGGGCTTTAGTGACGGAGTGGGGCTTTAGCCTTTTTGTGGCTTTAGTGACTTACGGCTTTGGGGGTCAAGGGTCCACCATGGGGGCCGATCGGGAGGGGTTCGCCAGCTTTGCAGTGTAGATGTTCACGGCCAGGTTTTGGGTTTAGGGTGTAGGGTTTTGGGTTTTAGGGGTTAGGGGGATTACCCTGCACCCTACGCTAAACCCTAAGCCCTGAACATCTGCACAGCAAAGCTGGCGGCGAAGCCTCTTGGCCCCGATAAGCACCTGCGAGCGTAAAAAAACTAAAAGCTTGAAGCCATAAAAAGCCCAAAACTATCCAACTCAAATTACAAGGCAACCTGAATTCCTAAATCCCTCAACCCGAAAAGCCTAAAACCATATAGGCTCTACAACACAAGGTAACTTCAGAGTCTAAATCTACACGCAAAAAACTGACCCTCAATTTCCGAGAACCCTCGAGCACACTCCAAGCGTGGATGAAAGACCAGAAGCCTCAACGATACAAACGCGTCGAGCCCACGTTGGGCTTTCGTGTGGTGGACTCAAGGCAGGGTGGGAAGGAGGGACGGAAGTCCCTCCATTGGTGATTAGTGAAATGCTGCGCAAGTTAAATTTAAACAAAAGCACCCATCCCGTCTCGTTGCTTGGGTGCCCGACGCAGCCTCCTCCAGGCGTCCTGGGCACACTGGGCTTGTTGCAAAGGTCGACTTGGGGGGTACCCCTTCACACCCTCAACTCGCGAGGAGGTACCTTGAACTCGAAGTACTTTGGTGATATTGGGGGTTGAGTACTCTTAACAGCTCCCACATCTTACTTTATGCAGCTTCTCGACAATGAGTGCTTCTTCAATGTCTGATGTTGCCCAGCCCCAGTGAAAATTCGCCCCTTTTGCGAGATGGGATGTGGAAAGATACCTCTGACCACAGGAGCTGCAGGGTAAAATACGGACCTTAGTCATTCGAACAATATTTGAGTCTATCTATATAGTGAGTGTGGCGTCGTATACCTAAACCGTGAACCCCATACCCTATAAACCTCAATTGGACCTTTCATTACGCACGACATTCCGACCCCTGTGGTGGAAGAAGACTTCCTGCGGCCTCAGGAGGTCCGGGAACTGGGAAGTTTGAGGTGTTTCGGGTTCAGGGTTTAGGGTTTATGGGGGTTTAGGGGGGTTTAGGGGGGTTTAGGGGGGTTTAGGAGAGTTTAGGGGGGTCTACGGGGGTTTAGGGGGGGGTTTGGGGTGTTTCGGGTTTAGGGTTTGGGGGGAGGATTCTCAGTCCTAGGGTCTCGGAGCTGACGTTCCCAATGAACTTTACCTTTACCATGCTTTCCACATTCTTCTAACTTCATTTAAGTCCTTTCAAGCTCTATTAGAACCTATAAAATCTTGAAACCCTGTAGAGATTTCAATCACGAGTGCAAGGGAGGAATCGGAATGGTCACCAATGCTGTCATTTGGCGTCTTGCTCCAAGAGCTTCAAGGCACGTACAAATCTTCGGCCCAACGAAGCAATGTCGATATTCGCTGCCCGGAAATCGGCTACCGCGGCTCTTGCAGCCTCCAATCTGGCGGGTGGGCAATCGCGTAACAAAGCCAAGGTATCCTGGACAGATCGTATGAGTCGCCCTTCTCCTCTCTTTACGTTGAGGACAGTCGTTAAGTACACTTCCGTGAAAGGCTTGTTGGCTTCGACCTTCATGCTTTGCATAAGTCCATATGCGTCCAGGACTTGCTCCAATCTAGCACCTGAGTAAGCTCCCATAAGACACGTAAACGTCGCAATGTTTGGCTGAAGGCCCAGCTCCAACGACATGTTCAGTAAGAACTCGGCTGCGTTGTGGCTCGACCCCGCAGCTTCCCAGCAAGCACGGATGGCAGATGTTACGTGCGCAATGTTAATCCGAACACCAGTACGGTTCATCTCGTCCAAAATCTCAGCGGCGACCTGAATGTCACCCTCTGCAGCAGCTGCATCGATGCGGGCCGCTGCCAATGGCTCATCAAGCAGACAGTTGCTTCTGGCCTCTTTCCAGATGTCACGAACGCGGGCAGTGTCACCCAACTTAGCAAACAACTTGAGAGCAGTGGCATACGCAGCCCCATCTTGCGTGATGTTCAGATTCTGTAGTCGAGTATAGATCTTTGCTCCCTCCTTGTACTGACCACAATTGAAGGCAGTGTGAAGCACTGCATGGAACACAGGAAGCTCTTTGCCACCATATTTTCGAAACAGGCCCAAGACAGATTGCCAATCTCCGCGATCTCTTGCCTCGGCTATCCTGGACAATAGACTCTTGGACTCTTTGCTGTAGGTCATGTTCGGATTGCTTATCCTCGTGCGTAGATTAATTCCTGCCTTCTCACGCAGCAAGCGAAGTCTCGAAGGATCTTGTGCAAGTCCAAAGCTGCGCCGGGGCTGCAACCGCACCAAATATAGACACAGGAGAATACCAGGCAAGCACAAGCACCTGCATGGTTTGCGTTCAGGCATTGGCACCGGCATCGATGCGACGTGATGGTGAGGATGATGACTGCCGAGTTGGGAGCCGCCCTATGCAAACCCCTTCGCACAACCCTTATGAAGCCGTTTCAACCACTGACAGAAATTGACGAAGGAATCCTGCAGCAAATGGAATCCAAAACGCCGATTGACATGGTAGACCGTAGAGATGCCTAGAGTCTTCGACAGTAACGGTGGGCTGACTGTTTGGGGCTTTGGCTCAATAACGCTCGAACCAAGATATAATGTAGTATATAAGATGTACAACCTGATAAAACATAATATCGCGAGAAGATCCTGTAATTCCGAAACCTGAATGCAACGCATCGAAAACCTTGGCGCTTGCTTGCAGACTGCAATTCAGAAGATTCACATCCGCATGAGACTTGAAACTCCCAAACCCCACTGGAACTCCTAAAAGAAACAGTTCTGCTACGACCGGACTGGTTCTAACACAGCTTTGTACTTCTGCTGCCGCTACAAAGTCACCTACATGTTGACGATTATGATGATGCTGGTGAGGAGGAGGAGGAGGAGGAGGAGGAGGTGGTGGTGGTGGTGGTGGAGGCGGAGGAGGGCTTCTTAGTTCTAGCGCAGGGGCTACAACAGCGCAGCGTTTTGCTTCGGATCACGCTTCTCAGTTCTACCTGTAGGGAGGTGCAGTGCGTAGAGTTTAAGGCATTTAATTTGGTGATCTGGGGCTCTAGGGTTTACGAAGTGCTGCCAGCATCATGCGCAGAAGCCCTGCCTCCGGCGAAGTCCCGCACCACAGTCCGGTAGAATGGACATCGCCTGTGAAGCCATGGGCCGGGAAGAGGCGGGTGGAGGGTTTATGTATTTGGGCTTAGGGTTTGGGGTTAGGGTTTAGGGTTTATGTTTGCTTGGGTATTTCGGGATTGCTTTTGAGCCCTTTTGGTCGGGGCTTAGGATGTGAGGGCCCAACCAGAGGCCGATGACGACGACTACTACCACAACGACAACTGTGACGACGAGCACGATGACTACTAATTACTCCTGCTACTCCTACTACCACTACTGCTACCACTGCTGCCGCCACTACTGCCACACTACTTCTACATCGAACTTGCTTCGAACGCCTGCTTCTGTCTCAGGTAGAGGTGGGTGTCCTTGTCGACAAACCACACCCCAAGCCACATCCGAGCTGCGACTTTGAGATGTTAGGCGGCATTGCCATCGTCGGTCGGTCTGGAGTGAAGGAATTAATGACTACTTGGAGGTTCATGGTTAGTTATAAGTAGGGTTAGAAGTCGGGTAACTATAATTATAACCCATATTAAGGGATTTATATCCCTACTTATAACTACCCATGAACCTCCAAGTAAGAACTAGTCCTGAAAGGCGCAATTAAAATGGCCCGGTGCGACTCCCAGATCTGATCCAGCACCACATCCACATTGCCTAGTGTACTTTTATCATGACTAACCTTACTGCTATCTGTACTGATACTACGCTAACTGTTGATATTGTTGTTCCTCGCCACACTAGTATCTACTGTGGCTCCTAAAACTGTCGGTATTGGTACTATTGGTGTTGTGGATGTTGCCACGTATTCTGGCGGCCTGGTGGATGTATGACGTGAATCCCACAGACAGAGACTCCAAAACCCTGAAATCAAGGAATATGCCTTCAATCACCAAAGGATCCTTTCTGAACGTATATTCCAGTCCCCTTCTGTCCTTATGATATTGGGGTCTCTTCACGTACACACTCTAACAAAGCCATGCAAAACACTGTAAAGCTCTACAAAAGCCCTATGAAACCCTACAACATCGTGTCAAGCCTCATAAGATCTTGTTCAATAAACTAATAGCCCTATACAGACCTTTTTAACAGGTGAATAAGCATGCTCGATTCGGACCGATGGCATTATAGGGTTTCACTTACGGGGAGCCCCTCGAGTGTAAAGTTTAGGGCTTACGGTCACGGTTGAAGTCTTTCAGGATCACGGACTCCTTTTTCCGACTATTCAAAATTACACCAAGGAAACCCCGCAGTACAAAAATAAGGCAACATTCAGTCTTGACGAGGAGACCCCAAATGAAAAGGCACAAGGGTACCACTCGATTACCTCTGATGCGTACGTCTGGAGAACAATCCTTGCAAACATCTAGCAGCCTTAACAATCACAGTACCCCTGAAACTCCTAAAACAAAGCTGAACGAAGCTGAACCCTAAACCCTGAAGCCCTGAAGCCCAAAACCTTGAACCTTAAACCCCGCGAAACTCCCAGGCCGAGGTCACGGCTCATGGGTCAGGGCGATGAGATCCCCGAAGCTCGTGATGGCCGGGTCACCTTGGCGTAGCAATAGTATGCCTCTATGGGTTCTTATAGGGATTCTCGTAAGGCTTTTATCTGGGTCTGAAGATAGGTGCCTTAATGAACCCCTACCCCACAGGTGCGAAGTAAGAAGGTTGACCGAGCGTAGCGGTGCTCGGTGAGAATTTAAGCCCAATGAGTCAAGCTGGGTCCAAACATCCATCGGCGAGATGACCGACAGAGGTCGATGTGAGCGGGCCAGGTGATCGGACAGATAGGAGTTTCCCAAAATGGGGGACCCTAATATAGTACCCTAAATAGTAGGATCCTTATTTTAAGGACCCCTAAGATGAGGTACCCTAATTTTCGGAACTTCCCAGATAGTATCGTCGGTTCACAACAGCCTTGGCCACCGATCTGAGAGCTTTAAGATGGTCCTGCACCTTATCATCGTCGACTTCGGGATCTTGGTTTCTGAGGAGTCTCGTAAGGGTCTTTATCGGATTGTAGTGGGTTGTGTGGGGTTATAAACTCACTGGCCCAAAGCCCAAGGAAATAGAAGTTGAAACTTTCAGAATCCACTATCTTACAAGACCCTAAAAGTTGAAAAGTGGAGTTTGCAGCCAATAAGTATCATCGTCGACCTCACGTGCACTCACCAGTGAGCCACATCCAAGTCTTCTAGTGTCGATTCATCGACAGGAGCTTCAAGAACGCAGCGGCTTCCGGCAGGCACCCGACCAATCTGAAGCCTAAAGGCTTTCGCGCTTCTCGGTTTTGTTGTGGCATTTAGGATGAGGATTGTCACGCAGTTTGACACGTGCCAAAAATGGCGAAACACAGATTTAATTGCACCTGGACCCTAAATATGAATTGCTGTATCTTCTCGTGGTATACGGGTATTGAAACCTGCATGAAGCCTTGAGATTCCGTTACATCCCTTCTGAAACATAAGGCTGTTGACAAGACCCTACATTGATTCCTGATTGGCGGCAGGAACCTGGATCGACCAAGGTACTTTCAAAAGACTAGGACCCTTCGTATACATACATATGTGTAGATATAAAGAGAGAGAGAGAGAGAGAGAGAGAAGGAGATTAAGTATTTGTTTACATAGTTAAATGCTTATTTCCGTATGTGTCCGTTTATTTATTCATTCGGTTCTTCTTCTATTCCTGTACTTTTACCTTTGCTTGTATTCATGCTTGTAGTTATTTCTACATAAATATATCTGAAATTTATGACAGACTCCACAATCGACTGGTTGTGTAGTCTCAGCCTCGGGGTATCAGGAAATCACTCGTGAGAAGGCCAAAACTGCCTCCCGCGCCCTCTGTGCTTGCATTTTTGTTTGAAGCTGTTGTGGCTTCTGGTTTAGGGGTCAGGGTTTAGGGCTTAGGGTTTAGGTTTCAGGTTTAGGGTTTAGGTTTGAGGCTTAGGGTTTACGGACATGGCATAGGGGTTTAGGTTCGGGATTTTTGGACCGGCAGCTCCGAAACGCAACGCCGAGGCCCAGACTCCAACAACCCGCCTTCAAGAAGACTCGGAATACGTAGTTGCTGATAATATTTATCCAGTATCATACACACCAAACCTTAATCCAATTATTGAGGTTCATACATATATATATATATGTGTGTGTGTACAGATGTATACACACGCTTCCGGATATGTGTATGTATATGTGCATACATTTCAGAGATACGTGCATACACACACAAGAAACTATGTACATGAATATGCTTATATATGTATGTATGTATGCATGCATGCATGCATGTATGTATGTATATATATATATATACACATAGCCATATAGCACATGCATAGATATGTGCATACACATGTTCTTTCTCTTCACCTCTGAATATATACATATTATATATACATTATATATATATATATATATATGTGTATATATATATATATATATATAGTTCTATGTGTGTGCTCCGTTGCTCATTTAACATTTACTTCTACTCGGCCCGACACCCTTAAATGTCTCTGTAAACCGGGCATGGCACTGCAGTTCAAGACAGTTGCATTCTCCAGACCTCGCGGCTGCAATACTGGAAGAAGCTCAGGCTTACTGAGGGTGGTTTGCAAAGTCTTGTTGGGGCATATCAGGGGTCTACAAACAATACATTTCGCTGGCATAGCTTGGGTGTAACACATTGGGGCTGGGGGCTTGCCAATTTATGGCACGACCGATAGAGCAGTCCGTAACATCATTGCAATGGCAGTCTTCCAAAGAATCCGATATTCAGATCACCAGAACAGTTATACAAACCCTACTATGCTGCGACTGCGACTACTCCTGCCCCTAACACTACTCTACTCCTACTGCTGCTGCTGCTGCTGCTGCTGCTGCTGCTACTGCTACTACTACGACGACTACGACTACGATTACGACGACGACGACGACGACGACTACTACTACTACAACTACTACTGCGACGACGACGACGACTCTGGAGTGATGGCAGCTTGTCGTGGCTCTCGTCTGGGGCAAGCATCTGCCAGAAACTGAGTCCAATCATGTCATCAGGCTTGTGCAGGAAACTGTGAAAGGAAAATGCTGGCAGGCCCCGTAGAAAGATCAATGAGAGTGGGCCGCTGATCTCGGGTTGCTATTTGCCCTGAACCCAACTTGGAGGTTCATGGGCACTTTTAAAGTGGGGCCAGAAGTCCTTCAACATGGCTTATAACTATCGTTCTCCTACTTATAACCCTACTTATAACTAACCATGAACCTCCAAGAACTTTGTGAGACTTCCCAACACTGGTGTAGCCTCAGATCTTTCAGCATGAAAGCCTACCCAGCACCCCTGGAGTAGGGTTTAGGGTTTAGGGGTTTCGGGTTTAGGGTTTTCGGGTTTGGGGTTCAAGGGTTTAGGGTCTAGGGGTTAGGGGTTTCGGGTTTAGGGTTTTCGGGTTCCAGGGTTCAAGGGTTTAGGGTTTCCAGCCTCAAAACCTCAGTTGAATCCGGAGATGAAGGAGAGACGGGGACCAGACCAGGGATGATCTCTGTCTCAATCTCCTCCAAGGAGGCATTCGCGATCCTTCCGGAAGAAAGGGCTTCAGGATTTTGCGCCGCGGGGTGTCTGCGGCGGAGTTTAGGATGTGGGTTCCAAGTTTCCCCGTCAAAAGGGCCGACTGCCTGTTGCGGGCAGAGGGCTTTGTGGCAGACTGCCAAGGATGCATAGGGCACCTTCCTGTTGCACTAAACCCTGACACAGAAACCCAACCCCTAGCTGGCTCAAAGGGAAGTCCTTTCAGTTTCAGTTTAGTGTCTGGCGTTAGGCTTCAATATGGAGGCCTTATCATGACAACAGCTATATAGTATACTTACAACTAGTTTTCGTAATCTTCTATACTCTTGTGAGGAGGGGGGTTACTCCGGAGACCACCATCCTGGAGAGAAAGCTGGCCACATCCGTTAGCGCCACGTTCACCGGGTTCCCCGGTATGCTCGCATTACCTGGGAGGTAAACCCTAAACCCTAAACCTTAAACCACCTATGGGGCTGGGTCTTTACACTGGGCATTGGGACCCTCGTTGAGCATTTCGTCTGGTTTGGCAAACTTTGCTCCTAGTGGGGTTCAGGATTTACCTGCCAAAGCCATCAAGTTCTAGACTATACTGACTTAGCGGAGTTCAAAAGGATTACCTACCAAACCCACAAAGTAGCAGACTATACCTCAAACTATCGAAGAAACTCTACTGCCTTCCGTACTTCAAGAACCTTGGAGGCTCTAGAGGGCTTCTACGACTCCGAAACAGCCCCAAAAGACTACTTGGAAGTTCATGGGTAGTTATAAGGGTTCCTTTAAGGGTCCCTTTAAGGGGATCTCTCAGGCTTCTATAAGGGTAGAGGGTTTAGGGTCTACTTGGAGGTTCATGGGCACGTATAAGTGGGGTTGTGAGTCCTTCAATATGGACAACTATAGTTATCCTACTTATAACCCTTCTTAAAACTAGCAGGAGTTAGGATTCGGGGTACCCTTGGGGATTTGAGGATAAAGACCTTCTCAATGAGGGCCCTTTAAGAGAGCCAGAAGAAGGGTGTTCGAAGGGTCCCTTTTCAGCGGTCTCCCTAATGCCACCTAAGAAAGACCTGAGCCTTGTCATTTTGAAGCTTTGGCAACCTCCGTCCTTTCCGAACGATGCCTGAACACTGTTTAAAAGTTCTGAGGTTTTCGGTTTGGGGTTTAGGATGAGGGATGCCTCATAAAACCCAGAGTTTTCAAAATCAGTCACAACTAGGCAATTAGAATGCAAATCCTCATGCGGATCAACTTTGTGTAGATTCCTCAATGCAGGAGGTATGGTAGCTCCGCCCTTGATTCTAGGTCTCCAAATTTATACGGCACCCTTAACAAAAGGACCCTAAAGGGTACCCTAATTTTCGAGAACTGTAGTAGATAGCCCAAGTCTGAAAGCATGAACCCAAACCTGCAAACAAAACTCCTAATTTTGAAGGATATCTGACATCATACCAGTGACAATCTCTCTGTGACTTCCGATACACAAAACATCTGCGAGATAGGCTCCAGTATGCAACGGGGAGGTTACTTGACAAAAACGATGAAGGTTTTAGGCTTGATGGTTTAGGGTTTAGGTTGTAGGGTTTTGGGCTTGGGGTTTTAAGGCCTAGGGCTTGTATACGGGTTGGGAATTGTGGCGTAAAGTTCGCTTTCCGGAACCAGGCAATGCCTCTTCCATTCGGGCCAACCCTGAACAAACCCTTAAACCCCGGGCGGCTTTGATTATTTCCTCGGTCTTAAGAGGGAACTCACGCTTGGCGAGATGAGGCGTATCGTGGGAGGGGTCCAGGAGAGTCTTCCGAAGCTCGAGACCATGAGCACCGTTGCTATCCTGGGCCCGAGACCCCGAGCCCTGCGACCCTGAACCCTGAAATCGAAATCCAAGCCCAAAAACCCTAAACCATAGACCCTGATACCCGGGGTTTCGGGTTTAGGGTTTAAGGTTTAGGGTTCGGTAAGGAGAAACCGACACCCGTCGTTTCGAGGCCGATGGGCGCAAGAGCTCTGCGGCGAAGGGCAAGGAAGCAGCCTGTTAGACTAGAGCAGGGTCTGATGGCTATATGGGAGTTTCCGAAAAGAGGGGGCCCTATTATAGCACCTACATTGTAGGATCCTTATTATGAGGACACCCAAAAAGAAAGGGACCCCTATTTTCGGAAACTCCCATCTTTATAACAGCAAGTTTGATCAACAGGGAACCTAGACGACCACACCAGTATTACGGTTGATGATATACATCCTGCATTACCCATAACAAGGAATATACCATAATTCCCATACTTTAGGGTCCTTAGGGTAATGCAGGATTTAGATCATCAACCGTAGTAATCATAGTAGCGATCCTAAAGGAACACAAAAAGCGGGCCACGATGGAGTGACGCCCGTCTTCCAAGAATCCACGCAAACGACGAGTGTGAAGGCTCGGAGTTTCAAGGTTTGGGATTGTGGGCTGAGGGTTTAGGATGTGGAGTTTAGAGTTTGGGGCTTAAACTGGAGTGGTTTGGGGCCTGGGCCAGCGCAGTAGCCTTTCCTGGTTTCAGAAAGCCTGAGCGAACGGTGCTTCTTTAGGCTTTAGGATCTTAGGGTGCTGATGCTTGGTGTTTAGGATTGTTTAGGGCTATGGGTTTGGGGCTCAGGTTTCGAGGATTCACGGATTGCGTTTCGGGGCGTGAGCTTCTGGCTTGCCAGGCTCTTCCACTTGGCCTTTCCTCACAGGCGGACCCAGACGAATGTCCGTTGTCCGATGTACTGTACCTGATTCCTTCAGACAGTCAGTGCAATAAGAGCCCAAAAGGTGTCCAAAGCACTCGAAGCCGCCGCCCACGTCGCAGCCCCATACTGGGGCTGGGTCATGCGAGCAGCTCTCGGCCACCCCTCCCGGAGAAGCTTGGCCGAACAGGGTGTTTGGCAGAGGAGCAGCTGCGCTTGCTGCACTGCATTGTGTGGCGAAGCAGCTTGAAACACAGAAAGCAGTTCACCACGAACCTCCAGCTACCGTTCGTGCTGTGTTTTCAAGCCTGGCTTAGGGTAAGCTTTGGACATAAGAAGCCCTGGTGTGGGGGGGGGGGGGGGGGGGGTTTTCGGGTGTCTCCGCAAGGGGTTCTACGTGGTCTTGCGGACGGCTGTTTATGGCTTTGCCTGTCTGGCCCGGCACTTTAGGGCTTGGGGTTGGGGCCTACTTGGAGGGTCGGGGGACTTAGTATCTGGTTATTTTAAGGACTTATAAGTACCATAACCCGAATTAGGGTCCCTTTTAGGGTACTTATAAGTCTACTTACTACCTACTTACTAAGTCCCCCGACCCTCCAAGTAGGGCTCAGGGTAGGGGCGGCAACGCTTCAACTCCCCAACTCCCAATCCAAACTGGTCTCGGATGGTTTTGCAAAACCTCGGAGAGCCCCAAAGCCTCAAACCTCACGCCCTAAGCCCTAAGCACCTTTAGCTTGGAAGCGAGCCGACCCCCGAAATCCAAAACTCAAGCCTTGAAGACCCAAACACTCACCCAGAGCCTTAAAACTTCGAGAACCACTCATTAAAAAAGGCCGAAGCCCTACAGCTTCAAACCGCCTTCAGTTGAGGATTTGGGTTTAGGGCTTTGGTGCTGCTAGCGTTAAGACGAGAAAAGGATCACAAGACCCTAATCCACCCTAAACCCCCGAAACCCCAGGCCCTACGCCCTGAACCCTTAAACCCGGAACCCGAGGCATTAAACTGGGTTCTTGTTAAGGAACTTAATTTAAGTTACCATAATAGGGATCTATCGTAAATAATAGGGTTTCCTTGTTATGGTAACTTAAATTAAGTTCCCTAACAAGAACCCAGTAAACCCTGAATTCTGCACCCCCGAGCCCCAAACACCACCGAACCCAAGCGTCCCTCGCCTCAAAATACCCTAAACCCTAGACTCCCAAACTCTAAACCCAAAACTCCTAAACCCGACATTCCTAAACCCTAACTTCTAAACACTCAAACCATAAACTCCGAAATCTTCCTAAACTCCGAAACTCTTAAACCCTAAACTGCCAAACCATAAACCCCCAAATCTTAAACCCGAAACTCCTAAATTCGAAATTCCTAAGTCCGAAACTCCTAAACTCATAATCCCACAACTTCTAAACCCGAAACTCTTAACCCTAGACCAACCCCTCGAACCCCTAAAGTTCGCCTGGGCCCCCAGTAGCGCCGGCACGCCCTGTGCGGAAATGTTCCCGTATTGGGGGGCCTTGTTACATTAATAGGTTTTGGGTTTAATGTTTAAGATTTCTGGTTTAAGATTCAGGGCTCAGAGGTTGGAGTTTACGGTTTAGGGTTGAGGGTTTGGGGGTCGGAGTCTCCCTTCCTACCATGGTCCCAGTCTTATGTAGGGGCCTCAATCAAGGGCTAGAATGTCTTTTGCACACATGTTTCATGTTCTCCATCGTCGGTGCCAGGCCCTTGGTGTGATACAGGGATTCTGGCAGCCTTGGATCTTCTTGCGAGTCGTCGACAGCCACTTCGCGATGCCCGAAGCGACCCCGGACACCAGAGTGGCTCGCAGATTGCCAGATGTCTGCATTCGGCATGGCATGAGCCTTGTTCTCTCTGGACTCCATGCCTCGCATCTCGCCGAATGCCTCTTCGTTATATGTTGACGAGAACATGCCCATCACATCGGACAGGAACCGATGCATGTCGGGAGGTACGCTCGCGAAGTTGGATGCTTTCAAGGCCTCAAAAATCTCTCTTGTCACAGCAGTCTGCATCGGCAATCTACTGCAGACAGCATTCCATGCCTAGCGTCGCGGTAAAGGTTTTCTGTACAGGTCCTGCAAGGGTCATTATGATTCATTGTCAGGGATAGTATAGGGGCACAGTATAGGGGCCTTAATGATTGGTAAAGGGTTTGCGGTATGGGACCACGCGGGGATAGTATTTCTAAGTCATTATCAAGACCTTAAGCCCGTACTGGTCGATGAGACCGGGGATGATAGTCGAAATGATGGTGGGGGTGATGCTGAGGACTGTGATGATGATGACGACGATGACGATAACGATGATCATGATGGTGATGATGGCAGGGATCGTGAACATCGTCATCATCATGACGAACTTGAGATATCACGATCTGCGTTGCTGATACAGCTTGAGACTTCACCCCATGGCTATCGGCAGTGGTATTCGTCGTCGTCGTATTTGGGTGTAGCAGCGGCTGTAGCAGCAGTCTTCGTCGTCGTCGCACAGTAGCAATAATTTAGGGGCCTCAATAATTACCAATACAACTTTGGGGGGTCCTTATTATAACTATAGTATAATGGGCCCCAAAACCCTATTCTAATTATAAAGGCCCCTGTATTAGTAGTTTTTGTTCTCGGCGTTTGCAGAACTTGAGCTCCCCTAAACCCTAAACCCTAAACCCTAAAACCCTAAACCCTAAAACCCTAAACCCTAAACCCTAAAACCCTAAACCCTAAACCGTCCCGGCGGGGGGCCGTTGTTTGCAGCCACTGCAGCAGGTTGAAGGCTTCTCCACCAGCCTGGTCGTGCGAGGCTCCTCTATCAGAACCTTCGGCCCCGTTTGAAGGCTTGGGACCCAGAGAGCCCAATACCCTTTAATTAAGGAATATACCTGAAATTATAAGAGAGCGCATAATATGGTTTAAGGTATATTCTTTAATTAAGGGGTATTGGGCTCTCTGGGATAATACCCTTTAATTAAGGAATATACCTTAACATATGTGGGGATTCATAATTATGATTTAAGCCATATTCCTGAATTAAGGGGTATTGGGCTCTCTGGGGAACCTTCGGCCCCGTTTGAAGGCTTGGGATTTAATGATCTAGCATTATGGCTTTGAGGGCTAAGGCGCCAAGCACTAGGGATTCACGGATGAAGCGTCTAGAGTTTAGGGCCGTTTCGGGCTTCAAGTTTCATGGATCAGGGCTTGAAAGTACAAGGTTTAGAATTTAGGGTGTGAGGAGGGAGCTGGGGAAACCTTGAGAGTTGTTCATCATTTCACGTGAAGCTGCAGGAGGTTCTACACCTCAAAAAAAATCGGAGATGGGCTTTCGTTTAGCGAAATTTTCCCTGAACCCTAAACCCTACACCCTAAAGCCATAAATCCCAAACCCCTAAGCCCTCAACCCCTAAACCCTAACTGTAAAACCCTGAACCCTAAACCCTTAAAGGGATCCTGGGCCCTCAAGGAAAACCAGAACCCCAAAGGGTGCCTTGGGAGTTTCGGAACAAAGGAGGCATACGGCATACTCGAGCCTAAACCCTAAAGCAACCCTACTCTAAACCCTAAACCCTAGACCCTCAATCCTCGACCCTAAACCCTAAAGATCCCTACTTGGAGGTTCATGCATATCTGTCAGTGGGGTTGCAAGTCCTCTAGCATTTATGACTATAGCTATTCTGCTTATACACCCTACTTCTGAGCACCCATGAACCTCCAAGTAGATCCGGAAACATTCCTGGCAGCAGGGACCCCTCTCCTGTCAAGGCGCCTCATGGGGTGTTTGGTACGGGCCATGATATATGCACTATCATAGGTAGATAGATAGGTAGATAGATAGGTAGATAGACAGACAGACAGATAGATAGATAGATACTATAAACTGTATCAGCTGCAATACACCCTGTTAGCACCCTAAGCTTTCCACTCCTGCGACGAAAAACACGAATAGAACTTCGAAACCCTCATCACTGAGCCCTTATGCGAACAAAAGACAACGAACTCAACACTCTTCGGCTATGCACGGGTAAAGGCCCAGAGACTTCAAAAGAACCCCACACCAAGCCGCGTATAGATTGAACTAGGTCCGCGGCGCTCAGGTGTACGTGGTTTTTTTGGGCTGGGCGAATAACTTTCAAGGGTTAGAGACATGCTGAATGTATTGTTTTTTGCGAGGATTTAGACCAGGTTCTCGAACGAGTAGTGTAGAAGCAGCACTACTAAGGGGGAAACAGGCAAAATCGTGGTTTCGCCTAGGGAATTCGTCTATTTTCAACTTGTTTAGAATGCCTGAAACTACTTTGCGTGGACACGAACATACCCTCTTTTCTCGAGCTCGTCGGAGTTCTGGTTCTCAGGCTCTGCGGAGTTTGAGCAGTGCGGACTTTAAGACCTCGGCTGCGAGAGGCTTTGGCAAGGTCTTTCGCCAGGCCCACTGTCAGAGCTGCTCTTTGAGTTCTGGCCGCAAGCAAGAGCGGTCGTCCATCTTGCCTTTGGCCTTTGGAGATTTACCGAGCAATATCTTCAACGACAGCCATGTACGATCCAAGGTCTGCGTGCCAGCAAGAGTACTGAGAGCCGCAGCACCAGCACAACATACAACAAGAGGGCCAGCCACTTCATCGAGCCCGCTTTGTGGACGCGGCACAAATGAACGTTATCAGCCCCCCCCCCTGCATGACTCGCACAGGCAACCCCCACAACAACTCGGAAGCACAGCGCACAGCAAACCCCCTGAAGAAACCTCCTGAAAAAGTCTGAAGCACACGAAACCTCGTGTACAGATGCGCGCCGCGCTCCAACTACCACATTAAGGTTCCTCTAAAGTACCCTTAGTAGTGTGGGGCCCCAATTGGGGGATCTACTTTCTAGATCCTCTGGGGGTCTGGGTTTCCCCTCTGGAATGAAAAGAAAACTTCGGCTCCTCGGAGCTACAGCATTTTCATCTTACAGAGTTTAGGTTTAAGATCGACTCCTTGGTTCAGTTTAGGGGTTTAGGATTCAGGGTTTAGGATTTAAGATCGAACCCTTGGCTCAGTGGGGGGTTGGAGTCCCTAAACCCTGAGTTTTAGATCAAGTTGAAGGGCCTCCGAAGCCCCAACACCTCCGAAGCCCCAAGACACCTGAAGAACCCTGAACCCTAAACCCTAAACCCTAAACCCAAAAACCCTGAACCCTAAACCCTAAACCCAAAAACCCTAAACCCAAAAACCCTAAACCCAAAAACCCTAAACCCCAAACCCTAAACCTGAACCCTTAACCGCCTTCACCCTGAAACGTCTACTCCTCAGCTAGGGGGTGTTTGGAATCTTTGCAAAACAAGTGGGAGTTTCCCAAAATTGGGGGTACCTTATCTTGGGGTCCTTGTAAAAAGGATCCTACTATTTAGGGTACTATATTAGGGTCCCCTTTTTTCTGAAACTCCCAAGTGGAGCTCCCTCTTTTTTCGGCCTCGGTCTGGAAGTCGTCCTGGCCACGATGCCCAGGAAGGCCCGGTATGCCCAGAGACTCCAATATCCCTTAATTAAGGAATATACCTTAAATTATAGTAGGATCCCTAATATGATTTAAGGCATATTCCTTAATTAAGGGATATTGGACTCTCTGGGTGTGTAGGGCTTACTATAGGGGCCTTAATAATGAGAGCAGGCCCATTATACTAGATGTAAAGCAAGGAACCACAAAAAAATAGTCTTGGTAATTATTAAGGCCCCATTATTAGGCTGGGGGGTTAGAATTGGTTTAGGGTTTAAGGTTTAGGATTCGGGCCGCCTGGGTTTAGGGTTTTATGTGACCTATGCAGGTTTGGGACTTAGGGTTTAGAGGATTGTTCATGCTGTTTTGACCGTGCAGATCCAGGACTTCCTGTACCAGGTATGTACAAGGTTTCTTTCGGGTTCTAGTGGGTTCTTAAAGCGAGTTTTTAAGCGCTGTGTTATAAGGGTATCTTCGTAAGGTTCAGGGTGTTCCCAATAGATAACTGCGCTGTGTCCTCAACGCTGCATCTGAACCCTAGGCCCGAAACGCGAAACCGGCCCTGGTCAGACCCATGCAGCAAGACCCTAAACCCTGAGCTTTGCGAAGGGTGAAACAAGCCGAGCACGTAAACCTGTGACAAACCAATATCCATCAACTAACCAGCCTGAAACCAAACCCAGCCAGACGCATGCGATACACGAGCTTCACAAATTGAGAATCAAAGTATTGAAGTGTTTGGTCTAGGGTTGTGAGGGTTCTCTAAAACAGTTGCGATAGGGAACCGTCAGGAATACCCCGACTAAGTACACAGGGCCCGTAGACCCGAAACCCCTCAACCCAGGACCTAAATCTTAAACCCAAAACCTTAAACCCCTAAACCCCTAAACCCCTAAACCCCTAAAACCCAAGAAGCTACCCTTGAAGGATTAAGGTTCAAGGACTTCGAGTTCGAAGCTTGCGCCTAAGCCCGCTGGAAGAATTAGCAATGGTAATATAGGGGCCTTGATACTTAGCATAGGGCCGAATAGGGTTCTGGTTTATATGATACGAAAACCATAATACGGAATCCCCCAACAGTGTTGGTAATTATTGTGGCCCCAAAGTACCTGCTTGAAGTGTTCCATCAGGGGTCTTTCTAGGATTCATGATGGAGCTTAGTGACATAGCACAGCAGCCCTGTCAAGCACCCACATAGTAGACTATCCCGAAAATAAACCCGTTTAAGTTGTTCGTGGCTGTGCCTTTCAGCTCTGCCTAGGTTTGAAACTGAGCCGAGGATTTAGACCCTGCGCAAACCTTCCCAACAGTCTTACTTATCAGGTTTAGGGCTTAGGCTTACTGATCATTCAGGCTTCTATAGTAATGCGCGATGGTGATGTTGTTGCTCAGGATCATAACCTGAAATATGTCCAAGAGTTTTCCTCAGGGCCCCTCAATGCAATTGTACTATTTCTAATCATTGCTATATACCCCAAAACCCACGTCTAACAAAGTAACAAGGCCCCTATATCAACGAGCCTGCACAATAGTAGGAGCAACAGTGCACAATAACGCGAAGGAGCAGCTCATACTCAGACCCACCGGGCCTGCCCAAATCCCAGGTTCAACCCAAAACCCCGAACCCTAAAGTACGAAGGGCGCGGCTGCAGCAGCTCCTAAACAAGAAACCCAACTCTCCGCAAAGAGGGTCTGCATTAAGTCCACGCAGGCAACCCTCACAAACTGTGCCAGGCAGGCGTCGTCGTTCCTCATGCCATCTGCCTTGGTAACTTCTGAATCCCTAAACCTCGAAACTCCGAAACCCTAAGGACAAAGAGCTAATCTCCCCCCCGAAAACCGTAAACCCTACACCACAACCCCAAAACTCCAAACCCTCAACCCCCAACCCCCCCAAAACCCTAAAGAAAACCCCAAGGAGATCCTATAAATATTATCTTCTAGAGCCGCTTTAAGGTATCTTTCCACAAGATCAACTGCGCATACACGCGCGCGCGCCGGGGATCATGGGGATCCCTTGGGTACTACTCCCATACAGTCTGTAATGAGGCTACTGTTCAGGGCCTAGTAACGCCATACTACACTATTCAACTTCCGAGTTCTGGGGCAGATTCTTGGGGTAGGGATTCCTGAGGCTGAACCCTCTAACCCGTGGTTTGGGGTTTCCGTTGGCTCTTTAGCTCCTTATCTAATAGGGATTATCATCATCCCTGGCTCCGTAGCTCCTCCAATATCAATGGGTAGCCCTATTATGGGAAGCCTAATCCCGACTAGATTTTCATAGGCTAAAACCCCTATTGGCCTCCTATGATGGGTGTGGGGATTTAGGACTGTCTGGTCCTTGCTTTAGTCCTTGCTCCTCCCTCAACAACCCTGAAACCCTGACCGGGGCGGAGGGCAACAGAGACCCTTGAGGGTTTAGGGTTTAGGGTTTGGGGTTTGGGTGTAAGGCAATGGAAGGGGGACCACCCAAAGCAGAACCCCTATTTGTCATGTTCTGACAGTCCATTTTGAGGAACGCCCATATCCTTCCAAGCTATCACATGCGATTGCCAACAACAGAGAGCTCCGCATGCGGTCACAGTGAAGGTGCATAATTGTGGTAACTATTCCGGCTTCGATATGAATCCCTGCACCCAAAACTCTGAAACCAGTAGACTCGCCTTGAAGCAACCCTTATAGAAACCGTAACCCGGAACTCTGAACCCTGAAGCGTGGAGACCGTACAGGAACCCTCAGAGAGTCCCCAAAAATCTGAGCTCAGCGCGGTTCGTTCACCCAGCCTCAGGTCATGGATGGTTTGTCAAGGCTCAGTAGGGTTGAGGGTTTAACGGTGTTAGGGGTTAGGGGTTTGGGGTTTAGGTGTCTTATATCCAAAAACCCTCATAAAAACCCTAGAAGAACAAACCAAAACCCTGACAACGACCTAGCAATGCCAAAAACGACCCTAGCAAGATCACCTTCTTCTAGGATGTAGGGCTCCTTCTCATGGCTTGCTGCAGAACAGTGCTTATTTGGGTGAAGAGATTAGGGTTTTGGGCGTGCGGTTTGGGTTGAGGCTACAGGGCTGGGTTTACAGGATTTTACAGTGCTGTATGAGGGTTGAACAAGAGGTCAAAAGGGCTTTGCTGAGGCCTCACAAGGGTTGTGATATCAGGCGTTCAACGACTTCAGAAAAGGGCTCCAACATGGGGGGCCCGAATAATTTGAATGGGGTTTTGAGGTACATTATACACAACTACAAAAAGGAAGCCCAAAGAATAATGTTGGTAAGTATTTTGGCCCGCATATTAGAAGGGCCTTTGCTCAGGGTCTTATGGTGGTCTCGTCTGTTCGAGGTCTAGGGGCTTCTGGGGAAGGTGCATTAAAGTAAGGGGCTTCATAATTAGAATAGGGTTTTGGGGGTTCCTTATGACATATCACCAAACCCTATTCTGATTATTAAGGCCCCTACATTTCCTGAAATCGGTGGAAATTCGTGAAGGTGCTCGGGCAGCCTTTGTAACTGCTCAAGCTAGGAACAGTATGCTTATATAATGGATAAGCCTAGAGAGAATGTTCGCAAGTATTTCGGCTTCTTTTGATTCTGTAGCGGTCCGAAATGGAAAACCCAAGGGCTCTCGCACTGGAGATTGATAGTTACAGAAAGAGTCTTGCAATAGTAATTATTCGTGAGAGTAGCCAGACAGCAACGATGCCAGCGGCAAACCTCGGCCTTTTGCTAAAGTCACTACAGGGACGGCGAAGTGATGGATACTGATGTCGACCGTCAGCTGCCACTCATGAATCTTTGACGGTAATCTGAGCAGGTTTACACCAATAGCGAATGCCTGTGATCTCCCTCAACAAGACAAGGTGGGCATGACAATTTCTGGTGTGTCTGTCACACATCCGAACATACTCCAAGTCCCGGCACCCCAGACCCTAAGCCCAAAAACCCTTGACACCACATCCCTAAGACCCCCTGGTTCCCAAACCCGAAATCCGAGGCCTGTAAGCTTCTACACTCTCAAAAGCCCTGCACCCTGAGAGGTTTAACCCCTAAACACAAAAACCCTAAACCCCCTATACCGGCCCTCAACCCTCAAACCCCTTCAACCCTAAACCCTGAAACGCTTGAACCCTAAACCTTTCTTTCGATGCCAAATCCCTCGACCGAAACAACCTCCACGGCAAGGGTAGGGCCCCGACAGGGAGGCCGTGAGGGAGCCGGGCTTCACGAAGTGAGAGATCCAATAAGCCTGTTTTGTTTGTAAGGTCTTGCGGCTTTTGGGGTTTTAAGTAAGAGTTCTTTTCAGGGTCTTTGGTCTTCGGGCGCTTGTGTGATTGTGTCCAAGGGTTTCGGGAGGGTCTTTGGGCTTAGGGCTTGAACCCTAACTTGCCTTAAAGTATGTTTTGCTGAATACCTTCAGCAACAAAAGGGGTCTTTGATATGCCTTAGGCTGTATTCTTTCACTCAGACTTTAACGTCCTCACACACACTCGCAAGCCCTGGCAGCTTCAGAAGACAGATATCATAGGAGCCGAAATAACTACCAATAAAAACTATTTTGGTGTTCCTTACAATAAAGAAATAATATATTAGACCCCAAAACCCTAGTCTAATCATTAACGCCCCTACATTAGAATTATTCGAAGTCTAACCAGGAGTATCTTTATGGTACTGCCTCCCATACAGTAGAAGTCCATCATAGGAGGCATCCTTGTCTCTAAACTCTAAACCTGTAGCTACTTGCCCCCTAAACCCTACGTTGACCCGGAACAACCTACCTTTTCAAGCACTTATATTGAGAAATCATGATAAGGAAACCCTAAATAGGTAGGTTATTCGGGGTTAAGGTAAACCCTATACCCTGTAAGAGTTGCTCTTCAAGCTCGCTAAACTCCAGACCACCCGCCACCAGCAACTTTTAGACCGGAAACCCTCGACCCCAACCCATAATCCGACATCCTAACATTCTTGTAACTTAGCATTGTTATATACTGTTACTATGGCTCCTAGTCCTCTTACTACTGCTCTTACTCTTGGTTACTAAGTCTTCTTACTACTGCTCTTATTATTGGTTAAACCTATTAAACCCAAACCTCCGACCCGGAACCCTAAACCCTAAACCCCTACTATCAAAGGAACCCTAAACCCTAATGGTTTTTGTGGGCAAGGCCCAAAACGGGCCTTGCCCACGAAGTTTGGGCCTTGCCCACGAAGGCCCAGGCCTTCCCCACGAAGCTCGTGGGCAAAGCCCAAACCTTCGTGGGCAAAACCCAAACCTTCGTGGGAAAGACTCGTGGGCAAGGCCCAAAATGGGCCTTGCCACGAAGGCCCGGGCCTGTTTAGGGGCCTAGGGTTTAAGGTATAGGGCCTAGGGTTTAGGGTTTAGCGGCCTAGGGTTTAGCGTTTAGGGGCCTAGGGTTTAGGGGCCTAGGGTTTAAGGTTTAGGGGCCCAGAGTTTAGGGTTTGGTTTAGGGTTGCGGGGCCTAGGGTTCAAGGTGTTGGTAATGTCAGACGTTCATTTTAGGGTTTGCTTAGACTACGACTACTACTACTACTACTACTACTACTACTACCACTACCACTACTACTACTACTACTACTACTACTACTACTACTACTACTACTACTACTACTACTACTACTACTACTACTACTACTACTACTACTACTACAAGGGTATCTGAAGATGTCTGGTGTGTAGTTTCTGTTTGAAGTATGCTGCTGCTGTCACTCTTTTTAAAGAATGCGTCCTTTTAAGTTACGAGCTGTTGGACATCTGTCTTTCAAAGCTGGGCCTGTCTTGGGGTCAAAACATCTAGCGTTTCGCTTAGTGGTCATGCAGAACATGTGGTTGTTGTGTAGTTTCTCTGTGATTTGAATGTATATTCATAAAACGACTATGTCGACGCCATCTTCTTTGTGAAAGGTCGACACCTGCAGCTTGGTTTAGTTTAAGTTAACGATATTAATGTTGTGCTAACGTTCGGTGGATAGTAGTTGTAAGCTGTGAATAAAAGTAAAACTTTGTAGTTTCCTAATGTTATGGGATTCTAAGGGTGGGTGGGTGTTATTTCTAAACCGTAAGCACAACTCTACTTTAAAACTGCTCGATCCGGAGCTGCTGAACCCTAAATCCTAAACCCTAAACCCTGAACCCCTAAACCCCTAAACCCTAAATCCTAAACCCTCAAGCCCAGGATAAATGCAAATTGTTTAGGCAATTATGTAGGCAAAGCAAAACACAAAACTCTGTCAAAACCCGCACAAAACCCGGTCAAAACTCCGGACTTGAACCCTAAACAATTTGTATAAACCCTAAACCCCTAAACCCTAAACCCTAAACCCTAAACCTTCCTAAACCCCAAAACCCTTAAACCCTAATCCAAAGCCTTCGACCCTACATCCCCAAAGCCAAGGTCCCGAACCCCGCGATCGACGAGGCTGGAGAACTGCTGGAGGTTGGCGGTTGAGGCCTGCGACGCAGAGGGGGCTTTTAGGACTTTAGGGGTTTAGGGTTTTAGGGTTTTTGGGGCTTTGGTGGTTCTTTGGGGTTTTGGGTTTTTAGGGCTTTAAGGGTTTAGGATCTTTAGTGTTTAGGGGTTTAGGGTTTTGGGGCTTTAGGACTTTAGGATTTTAGGGTTTACGGGTTTAGGATACCCTGCACGTCCTCCAGACTGAATCGGAGACGCTTCTTGCTGACCTGCACCCGCAGGCTGAAGGGATCGATATTTGGGTGGTTGTCAAGATTAGGGTCCCTTTTTGGGTCCCATGAATATTCGGTGCCGTATGATAATAAGTACCCCAAAAAGGGACCATAGTATTATAATAGGTACCCCAAAAAGGGACCATAATTTTGACAACTACCCATATGTCGCGATGTCCGGCTCGGTCAAGCTGTCGAACTGAGCAGTCAGTGCAGTGGCGAGTTCGCAGTCACTTTCAGCGAGACCTTGGTCAGTGGCAGCGACCGCAGAGACTCCAATATCCCTTAAAGAAGGAATCTTCCTTAAGTCATTGCAGGACCCCTTATATGATTTAAAGACTATTCCTTAATTAAGGGATATTGGAGTCTCTGGAACCTTCACTGCCGGAAGCTGCCAAAAACCCTAACTTCACGACACTTGGGCGCTCCGGTCTCGAAAACCCATCTTCCAAAGCTGCTTTGTGCAAAGCATACCCAGAGAGCCCAATACCCCTTAACTAAGGCATATAGCCTAAACCGTAATATGAATCACCCTATAATTTAAGGTATATTCCTCAATTAAGGGATATTGGGCTCTCTGGGTACTTGCAAGGATCGTTAACCTCTTTGCAACTGGAACTCAACCCCTAAAGCGTGAGCACTGCTGCAGAATACTAGTGCATATGGGTAACTGTCGAAATTAGGGTCCCTTTTTGGGTACCCCAAATAATAGGTGCCGTACTATATTAGGGACCCAAAAGGGACCACAATTTGGACAACCATCCATATTCGCTCTGCCATGGCTCTGAGCGTGGCTCTTGGAGGGCCAACTACGAGTGCCCAAAGGCGCCTCTGCAACACCAGGACATGGGGACCCCTACCCTAGAAGGGGCTATATACTGGGTATATAATAGCTATATTAAGGGTATATAAACCCAGGGGTCTACTCTTCCTTCCTAGATGAACTTCTTCTTGCTATGATTGCTACTATTGCTATTGCTATTGGTTTTTTTAAGCATTATCATTATTACTACTATAATTACTACTGTATGACGAACTTCATTACACTTATATGATTATTCATCTTATCCTCCCTTTGAGGGACCTGGATTTACGTCGCCCAAAGACCCGCGAGACCACGCCTGCTCAAGCAGGAGGCCTGCTGCAACAAGCCTTGGCTTCAAGTCTTTGGCATTGGAGGTGCGGCTGAGGCACAACATCCTACATCCTCTTAATCAGCAAAAAACCAGAAATCCTATGAGTTCCTTAAGTTACCATAATAAAGACAGAAAACAAAACTAAACACAATTGATCCCTATTATGGTAATTTTAATTACCCAAAACAACACACCGGGGCCCCGAAGCCAAAGCCCCTGCCCTGGGCGATCCTCCGAAGCCCGGAACTATAACCCGAAACCCTAAACCCTACACCCCTAAGCCCTTAAACCCTAAGCCCTTAAACCCTTAAACCCTAAGCCCTAAGCCCTTAAACCCTTAAACCCTACACCCCTAAGCCCTTAAACCCTAAAACCCTAAGCCCAAATCCAGCCGAAGCCCCTGAACCCACTCGTTTCACAAGATTGCGAACCCGGGAAGATGAAGAGATTCCGAACAAGAGATGTCAGCCATTATCTTGAATGATCTTGGGTGGCAAAAAACACGAAACTCCGAGTCCTATACCCAATCCTCTAATATTGTCTTGGGGGCTGGAACATGCATTTGTGGCTTGTAGGTTTAGGGATTGAAGCGTGGAGTAAGGCTTAGGAGTTGAAGCATTGAATAAGGCTTAGGGCTTGGTCAGTTTGACGGCTGAAAAACATAACCCGCGGGGTCTGCACCGAAACTCCACGCATCCTACCAGACAGGGCACCCGATGTGGCAGACTTAGTCATTCTCATAGGATTTTGGGACACTTTTGTCATGGAATATACACAGGGACTACAAGAGGATGTTCTTACAGATTAGGCAGGCCTGTACATTGAACGCCTATGTCAATGAAAAGCCATAGAAATCCATGTGACCCTTGGACCTTATAAACCACCGCCTAAAACCCTATGAAGCCGTTGTAAGCCCCTCTACTTGGAGGTTCATGGTTAGTTATGAGTCGGGTCATAAGAAGGATAACTGCAGTCATGACCCATATTAACAGAACTCAGAACCCCACTTATTTATAACTGTCCATGAACCTCCAAGTAGACCCTAAACCCTATGCCCTTGATGGAAGCCCTATAGATCCCTTTAGAGGGACCCTTAAAGGAACCCTTATAACTACCCATTTTCCTCCAAGTACCAAGGCATGGAAGCCTATTGAGGCCCAATGGCTCACCCCCGAAGACCAGAGCCTATGTCCGATCCAACCCTACAAGGTTTTGGATGTAGGGCTTAGGGTTTAGGGTTTAGGATGTAGGGTTTAGGGTTTAGGGTGTAGGGTTAAAAGTTATGTGTATTGGCTAGGTCTCCCTAGTCTGTCCATTGCAGACATACACAGGTGAGACAAACCATGACGATGTAGGGTTTAGGGTTCAAGGCTTACGCTGTTGATTGAAGGGGTTAAGAGCTTAGGGTTTTAGGGCCTAGGGTTCAAGACTTATGATTTGGGGTCTAGGGTTCCGGATGTATGTGCAGAACTGGGGCTTCAGGATTTAGATTGAAGACTAGGGTTTAGGTTAGGATTTGAGGGTTTGCGGCTCAGGATTTACGGCTTGGGGTTCAGGGTTTGGGACTCGGGGCTATGGTTAAAAGGGCTTGTGATGGGGTTAGGAACACTTCCGGACAAGGGGCAGAAGTTCCAGATTCCGTGAATCGGTGAGTGCCTGTCCGGCACAGACTTCATGTCGTCTTCCCGTCGAGTGTCGGGACACTTTTGTGACTCGGGCTTTGAAGCTCGCAACCCCTATGATTCCGAGTCACACTTGCTGCTGGGAACTCATGCAACCACAATGACATGGGATTAGGGTTTAAAACTTATGATCTTATGAACCTTTTTCATAGATCTGGGTGCCTTGGGGTACTTTTGTGTTGCACATGGCTTCCCGAGCTTTGGGGACCCCGCACTGCATTTCCCGGCGTGAAAGGTATATCATATGGTGTTGTACTATATAATACTATGTTGCATGATACTAGACTGTGTCATATTATGTGTTATAGAACTTGTTCGCCTAAGGGTGGGCAAGAGAACCTTTGGTGGTAAAGGTTTGGGGGAGCTCTTCTTTGTCCCTTCTCGGTATGCCCCGGCTGTGTGGGCTCAAATCTCCCAAGCAAACCGATGGGATAACGTTGTAGGATACATGTATAGGATTCAGGGCTTAGCTTGGCCGAAGCAGCTCCCTTACAAACCCACTCTAAACAGTGCTAGGCCGCTAGTCTACTTGTCTGAAGGCACAGCCGTGGGCCCCCGTTTTGCAAATCCAACGATCGGATGACACCCGATGCGACGCCGAGCTGGCGGGGGACGTAGAGATGGGCATATCTTATACTGGAGACATCTTGGGGAGCCAACCCTCAAAGTAATGTCGAGTGATTCGCAAAAACGGGAAGCAAAGCCCGCAACAGCCTTCGAACCCTGCAGTGCCGCACCCTTCAAGCCGTGAAACCAGAACCAACACGCCTAGTCAGTACTTAAACCATCCAAGAAATACTAGTACTAATACTAGTGCTCATACTGACACCATTTCTAACACTAACACCGCACGAAAACTGCAACTGATGCTGGCATGGATACTGATGATATAATACTATATGCTGACAACTGTTGTTAAGGGCGCCCTTCAAAGCATCTAAAAGCTTCAAGGGCCCTTCAACCTTCTTTAAAGCCATCAAAAGTCCCTCAAGCACACACAGCTCCAAACAGACTCGAAAACACGCTGTGGCCCAGGCTGAAAGCACACTCAGAGGGCTGCTGAAGTCGATGGATCCTTCAGGCTTAAGGTTTTGGGTTTAGGGTTTAGGGTTTGGGTTTAACGGTGTTAATGGCTCTCATTGGGTTACTTTCAAGGCTTATAGGGCTTTAAGGGTTCTAAGGGCACGGGGTTAAGGGCAGAGGGTTCTCAGTGTTCAGGGCTTGAAAGGTTTAGGGTCAAGGCGTATATGAAGCCCATGACCTGTGCCATCCCCGCTTTGACCTAAACCGCAAGAGTCGAAAACAAAGACCCCGCGGTTCATAACTCCCTAAACTTACCGTGGGTTGGTAGGGAATGGAGGAATGGGGTACAAGTATAACTACTATTACTACCATTCTTCCATCCCCTACTAACCAAAGGTAAGTAAACCCTAAACCCCGAAACCCCCAAACCCCTTGAAGCCTTAAACCCTGGACCCCCTCCCTTCCGCCGGCAGGCCTCACAAGACCCCTAAACCCTCTGAAGCCATCAACCGGAAGACCATCCCCGGCCCCAAAAAAAAACCAAAACTCGCTCGCCAGCCCCCTACACACAGACTCTAATCTCGAGATCCCTACACCGACACCCCGAAATGCCCCAAGCCTTCTTCCAAAACCCTCAACCTTCGCACGTCATTCGGGGTAAGACCTGAACTCGAAACCCAAAACACCCCTAAATCCTGAAGCCCCCAACATCCCTCCCAAAACAAAAATTCAACCACCGTCCGCCCAGAACCGCCCACCCGCCATACTCAATACCCAAGCCTTTCCAACATCCAGAAGAAAACTCACATCAGCAAAACAAAAAAATCAACCAGAACACTCGAAGCCCCTCTAAACCCCTCCCTCCGTAACCCTAAACGACCTAAACCCTAAATCCCACCCCCCAAAAAAAGCAGCAAAAACTACCTAAACCCTAAACCCTAAATCCCACCCCCCCCCCCCCCCCAAAAAAAAAAAAAAAGAAATCTCTGAGGCGCCCGGGCCCAAGTTGGCTCCGGAGAGACCCAGCCCGGCGAGGATCGGCAGGGCCGTGGTCGGGTCCAGGCCCAGCCGAGACAAGGCCTCTCTGAGAATCGATCATAACATACTAATCTAAGAACCTTATTAGGTTCCCTTGGGCCTTTATTAGGGTTCCTTGTATGACCCCCATTAAGGGATACAAGGCCTCTCTGAGAATCTACAAGTACCTTATTTAGGGGCCCTTATAATAAGGATCCTACTATTTGGGGTTTAGGGGTTTTAGGATTTAGGGTACACTAGATCCCTAATTTGAGGCCCTATACTACTAAGGGTACTATAGTAGGGTCCCCTATTTTCGGAAACTGAAAATCTACAATAGACCTTGGGATTCGGGGTTTAGGGGTTTAGGGGTTTAGGGTTTAGGGGTTTAAGGGTTTAGGGGTTTAGGGGTTTAGGGGTTTAGGGGTTTAGGGGTTTAGGCCTCTCTGTTAGAAGGGGCCGCCACCCTGTAATAGTGACTATAAGGATTACATTAGGGCCCTAGCATATTCCTATTATAGCAAGGCCTCTCTGAGAATTTCGGGGTTTAGGGGTTTAGGGGTTTAGGGTTTAGGGGTTTAGGGGTTTAGGGGGTTAGGCCTCTCTGTTAGAAGGGGCCCCCCCACCCCGTAATAGTGACTATAAGGATTATATTACGGCCCTAGTATATTCCTACTATAGCAAGGCCTCTCTGAGAATTTCGGGGTTTAGGGGTTTAGGGGTTTAGGGTTTAGGGGTTTAGGGGTTTAGGGGTTTAGGCCTCTCTGTTAGAAGGGGCCCCCACCCTGTAATAGTGACTATAAGGATTATATTAGGGCCCTGGTATATTCCTATTATAGCAAAGCCTCTCTGAGAATTTCGGGGTTTAGGGGTTTAGGGGTTTAGGGTTTAGGGGTTTAGGGGTTTAGGCCTCTCTGTTAGAAGGGGCCCCCACCCTGTAATAGTGACTATAAGAATTATATTAGGGCCCTAGTATATTCCTATTATAGCAAGGCGTCTCTGAGAATTTCGGGGTTTAGGGGTTTAGGCCTCTCTGTTAGAAGGGGCCCCCACCCTGTAATAGTGACTATAAGGATTATATTAGGGCCCTAGTATATTCCAATTATAGCAAGGCCTCTCTGAGACTTTCGGGGTTTAGGGGTTTAGGGGAAAGTGGTTTAGGGGTTTAGGGGTTTAGGGGTTTAGGCCTCTCTGTTAGAAGGGGCCCCCACCCTGTAATAGTGACTATAAGGGTTATATTAGGGCCCTAGTATATTCCTATTATAGCAAGGCCTCTCTGAAAATTTCGGGGTTTAGGGGTTTAGGGTTTAGGGGTTTAGGGGTTTAGGGGTTTAGGGGTTTAGGCCTCTCTGTTAGAAGGGGCCCCCACCCTGTAATAGTGACTATAAGGATTATATTACGGCCCTAGTATATTCCTATTATAGCAAGGCCTCTCTGAGAATTTCGGGGTTTAGGGGTTTAGGGGTTTAGGGTTTAGGGGTTTAGGGGTTTAGGCCTCTCTGTTAGAAGGGGCCCCCACCCTGTAATAGTGACTATAAGGATTTTATGAGGGATTATATTGCGGCCCTATTATACTCTCTGAGACTTTCGGGGTTTAGGGTTTAGGGGTTTAGGGGTTTAGGGGTTTAGGGTTTAGGGGTTTAGGGGTTTAGGGTTTAGGGTTTAAGGGTTTTGGAGTTTAGGGTTCAGGGATCTACAATCTCTGATAATTGATAAGAACATCCCAGACCCCCGGGAGGATCTAGAAAGTAGATCCCCTAATTTGGGGCCCTATACTACTACGAGTACTTTATAGGAACCCCCATAAACCCCCATTAAGGGATACAAGGCCTCTCTGAGAAATCGATAAGTACCTTATTTAGGGCCCTTATAATAAGGATCCTACTATATAGGGTACTATAGTAGGGTCCCCTATTTTCGGAAACTGAAAATTTACAGTAGACCTTGGGTACTGCCCCCATCCAGTAACAGTCTATAATAGGGCTACGATTAGGGTCCTAGTATATCTATATTATGAATATTCTAGAATCTAGATCCCTAATTTGGGCCCTATACTACTAAGGGTACTTTGTAGGAACTCCCATAAACCCCATTAAGGGATACAAGGCCTCTCTGAGAATCTACAATAGACCCAGAGAGCCCAATACCCCCTAATTAAGGAATATACGGTATCATAATATGAGTCCCCTTATAATGTAAGGTATGTTATATATATATATATATATAGAAGCCTCTCTGAGAATCGATAAGTAAGTTATTTAGGGGCCCTTGTAATAAGGATCCTACTATATTAGGGTACTATAGTAGGGGCCTCTCTGATAATCTACAATAGACCCTGGGTACTGCCCCCATACAGTAACAGTCTGTAATAGGGCTACTATTAGGGTCCTAGTATATCTACAACACGAAAATCGATAATAACATCCCAGACCCTCGTAAGTAGGATCTAATTTGGGGCCCTATACTACTAAGGTTACTTTCTAGGAACCCCCATTGGATCTACAATAGACCCAGAGAGCCCAATACCCCCTAATTAAGGAATATACCTTAAATTATAAGGGGACTCATATTATGATTGAAGCTATATTCCTCAATTCAGAGGTATTGGGATCTCTGGGGACCTTGAATTATAATAGGATTCCTAACATGACTCAAGGAATATTCCTTAAAAAAAGGGATATTGGAGTCTCTGGTACTGTCATATCATAACATACTAATCTAGGAACCACCCTAAACCCTAAACCCTAAACCCTAAACCCTAAACCCTAAACCCTGACTAAGAAACCTTGGGCCTTTATTTGGGTTCCTTAGATGAATCCTCTCTAATAACTCAGGGTTGAAGGTTGCCGGCGTTTAGGGGTTTTCGGGGTTCTCTCTGATAATCTCTAATGACATACCATCAAAAACGACAAGGCTTTCTATAGAATACCTCAATATTATACTACAATATACTATCGTATACGCTGGTACCCCACCTCGAAAGTATGAAGAAGAGAAGCTCAAAACCTGTTCTTGTAGATAAAACTGAACATGTAAGTCAAGGCCTTGTGTTTGGGGGCAGTAGACCCTACTTGGAGGGTCGGGGGACTTAGTAACTGGTCATTTTCAGGATTTATAAGTACCATAACCCCAATTAAGGTCCCCTTTAGGGTACTTATAAGTCTACTTACTACCTACTTACTAAGTCCCTGAACCCTAAACCCTAAACCCTATACTACCCTTATAGAGCCCTTCAAAGGAACCCTTAGAATCCCCTTTAAAGGAGCCCTTACTAAGTCCCCTAAAGACCCTCCAAGTAGAAGCTCAGCTCTGGATCCCCAACCCTAGACCAAAAGCCTTAAAAACCCCTAAGTCCTGGATCCGAACCCCTAAACCCATAGGGATCCTTAGGGGTGTAGGGGGGAGGGGTGTAGGGGACTATATTTCCTTAAATAGGCCTTATTAGTCCTTATTATGGGCCTTAAGGCCCCCTACCCCCCCTCCCCCTACACCCCTAAGGATCCCGATGATTAAACCCAAAGCCCAAGATCCGAAACCCTGAACCCCACGCCAGAAACCCTTGGCCCTAGATCCGAAACCCTAAGCCCAAAGCCACAAATCCAAATCCTAAGCTCCAAATCCGAAACCCCTGCAACCCTGAAGCCTTCAACCAGCGAAGTTTCCAAAAGTGAAGGGTTAGGGGGTAGGTGTAGGGTTTACCGCTTCAAGCTTAGTGTTGTTGGTTTAGGGTTTGAAGTTCGGCTTTGGGGCATTTTTCGGGCTTAGGGTGTGGATTTGTAGAAAGCTCCGGGATTCGGCACCGGCCCCCCTTCATGAGGGGCCGTAGTAAAGAATAGGGTTTTGGGCCCATTTTACTATAATTTTCATAAGGGAACCCCCCAAACTGTGCAAGTAATGATTTTGGCCCGTTTTTTACCCCAACACCCACCAAAGCACCCAACTTGGGGGCCCATTATACTAAAATCAAGGAACCCTCAAAATAGTATAGGTAACTATTAAAGCCCCATATTCCCAAAAAGCACCCAGTCTGCCTGAGCCGCGTTCAACAGACCGGCGAGCTGGTCCGCTGCACCCGAGGCGGCGCCGCCACCCTCTCCACATTTAGGATCCCCTATAATTTACCTTAAAGGGGTTGCGATAATGATATTCCAACTTTCTGGCTTCTACTGTAAGAGGCAGCTAGGGTTACGGTTCTGGTTAAGGAGTTTATTTTTTTTCCTTCAGGATTTTGGGTTTAGGGTTTCGGGTTCTGGCTAAGGGGTTTAGGGCTTTCTTTAGGGGTCAGGGTTAAGGAGTTTATAGGGTTTAGGTTACGGGTTTAGGAGTTTAGGGTTTCGGAGTTTAGGGTTTTCTTTAGGATTCAGGGTTCAGGAGTTTAGGGTTTTCTTTAGGAATCAGGGTTTAGGAGTTTAGGGTTTTATTTAGGATTCAGGGTTCAGGAGTTTAGGGTTTTCCTTGGGATTCAGGGTTTAGGAGTTTAGGGTTTTCTTTAGGATTCAGGGTTTAGGAGTTTAGGGTTTAGGAGTTTAAGGTTCAGGGTTTAGGGTTAAGCAGTTGGGTTCATGCGGCCATAGCAGGCTTCTGTAAGTGACAGGGCTTTCCGGTAACGCGAGCTAACAGACCCCAGCAGTGCCCACACAGAAACTGTATGCTTCGGGGCGTTACACGACTTCAAGAGAGCTTCAGAAGCTTCACAAGGGTTTAGAGGGTTTCATATTCGGACTTTACAAAAGCTTCCGAGGTTCAGGGTTTAGCGCTGGATAAAGTCTCATAGAGCTGTACAGGGCTGTACACCGCCTGTCAAGCTCGAAGGCTTAAAGTGTAGGTTTAGGGGTTTAGGGTTTAGGGGTTTAGGGTTTAGGGGTTTAGGGGTTTAGGGGTTTAGGTGTTTAGGATTTAGGGTTTAGGGGTTTAGGGTTTAGAGCTTAGTATGCAGGCTTCCATATGGGAGTTTCCGAGAACAGGCCGTGAATAGTAGGATCCTTATTATAAGGACCCCAAAATAAGGTAGCCCCTAATTTTCGGAAACTCTGATATCAATGCAATCCTAAACACTAAACTTTAGACCCGACGGAATAGCATACCGAGAAGCTTCCTGACTTGAACCCCAAACCCTACATGCTGCCTGGAAGGTATGGTATACTACAACCCTAGGCCCTAACCCGAAACCCCTAAACCCTAAACCCTAACCCCCTAAACCCTAAACCCTAAACCCTAAACCCCCACACGGAAGAATGTCCTGGAAGGCCAGACCACCCAACTGCTCCAGGATCGTTGGAATCCCACCGCCGGGAATGTTGAACCCCTGCATGGCGAGACCCACGACTTGGGGCTTAGGCTTTGGGGTGCTATAGGGGCCGTCCCCGTAGGGTTTGGGGCTTTAGGGTTTTAGGGTTTAGGGTTGAGAGTTCAGGGTTGAGGGTTTGGGGTTCTGGAGGGGCTTCAACAATTACCTATACTGTTTTGGTGTTCCTTACTATAGATACAGCATAATGAGCCCCAAAACCCTATTCGAATTATTCAGGCCCCTCTAATTAACTGCTAAGGTCGTGAACCTCCGCCCCGGGCTGTAATCACAAGTAAGGCTCTAAAGTCGAAACCCAAAGCCCTAAAGCAAAACGCAGGGGGTAAAGCACCTAATGCCGCGGCCATAAAGTTCAAAATCGCTTTTCAGGGGTCCTTTGAGGGTTCTATCAAGGATCGATAAGGCAGGATTCAAATATTCGAGGCCCATGACGTTCCAGGGTCAACAGACACCGAAAACCCATGAGTAAGGCATACACATTGAGACTTTGATAAAGGGTGACCCTTATGATTACTCAGGATATATTCTTGATTTAAACCCGCAGTCGCTGAGACCTCCCTCTCTACTGCGATGTATATCTCCGCTTCTATTATGGCTTATGGGGTTTAGGGTTTAACTGCCTTGAATGTAAGGTTTGCGGTTTACAAGCCCCGAGCCTTTCCGGATCCTCTTGTCTTGAGGGCTGTGGAGATCTGATTGTGCTTTGTATTCTTGAAGCCCTGACCAACTCTCCATTAAAATCCTGCCTCCATGGCCTTAGGGCCTCAACCGTAAGCCATATTTCTGAACTCGAATGTCAAAGTTTACAAAACTCCGCTCAAGTTGCCACATGTTCCCCTAAACCCTAAACCCTAAACCCTAAACCCTAACATCCTCGACCCGGCGCTGCTGGGCTCACCCTGCCCTCGAACCCGAGAATATGCGAACCCTGACCTCCTGCATCCGAAATATCCCGGACCTGAAGAAGTCGGTTTAGGGTTTAGGGTTTAGGGTTTAGGGTTTGCCGTAGAATGGCGCATAAGCGGAAGTAGCTTGCGACAGTGTAATTTCGAGTGCATCGTCCTCAGGCGATTCAACGTTTGAGCCTGATTGTGGTTGGCTCTTTTTATTCACTCTCCCACCCCACGCCGTCTAAGGCGGCTAAACCACCCAAACCTATTCCTTTTAGGGTTTAGAACCTAAACTCAGTCTACGGTTTTCTTTATTTCTTCAACCTCAGGCGGGGCAAAGCAGAGCAGGTCCAGGTAGGCCAGGGGGGCCGGGGAGGCCAGAGAGCCAAGGCCGGCGGGGTCAGGGGGCCAGTGAAGGGGGGCCGGGGAAAGGGGCAGTTCAGAAGAGCGGAAACGCGCCGCCAAATCTGGTTGCTGCAGGCCCCACGCCCCCCCTGGGGTTTAATAGGGACCAGTACTGGTCCCAGGGAGAACGTGTCCCGGTACCGGGCCCAACGTGGGTGCTACAGAACCCCTGGCTGTGGGACGGCGGGCGAGCGTCCTGGATCGACTTGCGCCATCGATGTCGAAGGGCATAAGCGCCGCCCACCATCGAAGGTGGGCGGCCTAAGCCCTGAGTTTAGGGTTTAGGGTTTAGGGTTTAGGGTTTTGGGATATCTGATAGTGTACGTTATTCGAAGCCCTTCATCCCATCTTCCATCGGAAGATCACTCCAACGATAAACCCTGAATCAGCCGAACCTTTTTGGGGGAACCCTTGTAGCACTTATAGGAAACCTTACATGAGTCCTAGACCTGAAAAAGCAAGATTAAGATAACGAAACATGCAGCCAAATGAAACCCGATAAACGGCCTATAAATAAAAAGTCCTAGCGAACTACAAACAAAAGACACAACAAAGCCTTAACCCCTAAACCCCTAAGCCCCTCGGCCCCTGAACCCCGAAACCCCTAAACCCTTAAACCCTAAACCCCTAAAGACCTGAGAAAAAATTAAACCCCAAAAAAACCTAAACCCCTAGACCCATAACTCCTCAACCCCAAACCAGACTCTAAACTCTAAACCCAAACCGCTAGCCTGGGTCAAGTTTCCCAGAAACTGCGCGAGGGCGCCCGTGACGTTGGGAAAGTCCTTGAAGAGAGGCCGAAAGGGTGGTTTAAGATTCTTGGGGTAGGGGTTCCTTTATATGAACCCTATTAAGGGAACCCTAATCCCTACTAGACCCCCATAGGCTAGAACCCCTTCTGGCCTCCTACAAACCTCTAAACCTATATAGACCCCCCAACTACCCTCTATTGTACCCCAAATACCCACTATTAAGGACCATAAGGGCTCTATCAACGGGCCCCTTTTGGCCTCCGATGAGTCCTGGGTGACGTTCTGGGCGATGTCGTTCAGGCTGTCGCCGCCGGACCTTGGTCTCATGGATCTTCCAGGTTTAGCGTGTCTTTACTTCATAATGTAGGAACCTGATTAAGAAAACCCGGTCCTATAACCCCAACATAGTAGGATTCATATAAGAAACTGTACTTCACAAGCTTCCCAGAAAGCCCAATACCCCTTAGCTATATTCCTTCATTAAGGGGTATTGGTTAAGGATTTAGTGCTCGCGACTTCTGGAGCTTGAGGGTAAAGTAGGGGGTTTCAGGCTTTACGGTTCGAAGGTTTGGGGTTCGTTCGTTTGGGTAAACAAATCTCCGGTCCTGGGTTTGAGACTGTAGGGGTTCAGGGAATTACGGGTTGGGGTTTAGGGGATGAATGAGGGTTCTGCGTTTTGGGTTCAGGCTCAGGGTTTGAGGCTCAAGGTCATCAGTTTTTATCTCAGAACCTCCGTTCGTAGCACGCATAACGATGCTGGTAAACGGACTTTGATTGTTCGACTGATCATCACCGCCATCATCATCCAGAGTACATAGCCAACAGCTGTTGGTGACGACGATGATGACGGCAAAGATGATGATGATGAGATGATGATTACATTACTTGGAGGGTCACGGGTACTTATAAGTGGGGTTATAAGCCCTGTAGTATGGGTTACACTTATAGTTATCCTACTTAGAACTCCATTTATAGCTACCCCTGAACCTCCAACTATGATGATGATGATTATGATGATGATGATGCTGTTGATGATGATGATGATGACGGCTAGACTATACCGCCCTTTAGAACCATAATAAAAATACTATGTTCAATATTCTGTTGGGTTCTATATGAGCAAACATGAAAAATCATTCCTAAGAAGCAGGTGTTATCGGTTCTAGGGTTCTCAGCTTGTCGCCTTGGAGCTCCAGCTACTCCCGGATATTTCCTAAACTAAGGCTTGAGACGGTTTAGGGTTTAGGGTTGCGTGGCTTGCAGTCATCTTAGCGTCGGGTCTTGGGTGCCCTGGTTGGAATTTCGACTTCGATCGAAGACGCAGGCTGAATGGGTGGGCGAGAGTGGAACCCCCAGAGAAGTGCCCTGCCCCACAACAAACCCTGTCACCCGGAAGGAAGTAAATCAGAATCCTTGGGCCTGCAAACTCCAAAGACGGGGGCCGCACTGCGTTGGCTGCTGCAGTAGGCTTATAACGCCATTCTCCTGAATACGGCGTTGTGGGTTTAGGGTTCAGGGTTTCCGGGGTTCAGGGCTCCTAGATCCTTGCCATCGACATCAACAACGCTCCTTCCCTCCTTCCTTCGTTCGTCAGCAAGCTTTGGAAAAATCTCGCAGAAAATGACCTCGGCACAGGTGAACCTGGAGCACCCATCTCAGGCTCTGGAGTTGAAGTTTGCAACGACAGCAAGAACCACCACATGGGTAGTTATAAGTACGGTTATAAGTCCCTTAATATGGGTTATAACTATAGTTATCCTACTTATAACCCTACAAGTACAGCAAAACACGAGGGCAGCGACAAGAAGGCGACTTGCCGCGGCTCTCCCGCGAAGCCGGGACAGGCGCAGAAGCTTCTACCCTGAGACTCCCTTAGTTAAGGGATATTCCTTAAATTATGGTAGGATCCCTAATATGATTTAAGGAATATTCCTTAAATTATAGTAGGATCTCTAATATGATTTAAGGAATATTCCTTAATTAAGGGATATTGGAGTCCCTGGGTACACTGAACATGATTCTGCACTGCAGCTTGCAATGGAACATACCAAACTGAAACTGAACAAAAGATGTTATAAGTATAGCAACCATAGCTATGACCCATACAAGAAGACTTAGCATGGAAAGCAACAAAAGGTAGCACAACTAATCGTCATCACCACAGTCATCTCCATCACAATCCTCATCAAGCTCTCGATCAGCCTCACCAGTGTCATTCGCAACATCGTCAACCACTATCTGCACCAGGCAGTGTCGTCACCGCCACTGCTGTCACGGAGCAAACACAGAATCAACCTGCAATCCAGGGCACTATAGCGGAATAACATTGCAACTATCCCAACTCTACTGGTAGATGATTATTATGCAATCTAGGGGAGTACAAGGAATAGTATTACGAACTATTGTAACTATTCCAACCCCAGAATATTGTCGTCCCGAAAAGATGCAGCTCCTGCAGCCAACGGCCGAGGTCGAAGAACAGCCGGGCAAGGGCTGTGCGATTGAGTTGCTCCCCTGGACAGGAAGTCGCTTCAGGTCTTGAAATACCTCCTGCCCCGCATGTTATTGACTCCCTTAAGTGTTCAGAAGGACGTTTTCAGGTTGAATCAGAATCAGCGCGGGGCTTAGAACGGACATGATGCCTCTTAAACTTTAAAGGTACTATAGGGGTCTATAATAGAGTCCCCGTATAATAGGGTCCCCTTTTAAGGGAGTTTCCCAAAATTGGGGGTGCCTTGTTTTGCGGTCCTTAGAATAGGATCCTATTATTTAGGGTGCTATATTAGGGTCCCCTATTCTCGGAAACTCTAAACCCTCAACCCCTTATGGAACCCTTATAGCTCCCTTTAAGGAACCCTTTAAAGGGTCACCTACAAGTTTGGGCATCTTTCAGACAGAAGGCCGCGCAGCGCCGGGCTTAAAGAACGAAGGTTCACAGCTCATGGTCTGTGGCTTTCAGGGGTTTCGGGTTTAGAGCATGGGGTTGAGGGTTGAGGGTTTAGGGTTTGGGGTTGAGGGTTTAGGGTTTAGGGTTGAGGGTTTACGGTTTAGGGCTTGGAGGTTTGACTACTGCCCGCACTCAGTAACAGCCATATTCTGAATCCAGATAAAAAAGGCCCTGAATAGTACCCTTATTTTGGACCGTTACTGCGGGAAGGGGGGAAGTAATTACCTAAGGCTTACCTTAACCCCAAATAACCTACTTGTTTACGGACTTATATAAAAAAAAATCAGCTTAGGGAACCCGAAAAAGGTAGGTTTCCTTAGGATCCAGGTATGGTCTGAGGCTTCTGAGTTGGGGCTACTTGGAGGTTCATGGGTAGTTACAAGTCGGGTTATAAGTCCTGTAGTGTATGGGTTATAACCATACTTATCCTACTTATACCCCTACTTATAACTAGCCTAAACCCGACCTAAACCCTACAGAACCCTCAAAGGAACCCTATAGACTCCCTATAACCCTACTTATAACTAGCCATGAACCTCCAAGTAGGGGTTCAGTTCTTGGGCTGACAAGGGGCGTCTTGCATCTTCTTGGGAGCTGAGACGACCCCGGAGCTCCCTACTACGGCGCCCCATAGTAGACTACCCTAAACCCTAAACCCTAAACCTTCAGCCGAAGTAGACTGCAAAAATACTATAACGGAGAAGAGGATAGAGCAAAATACGATGCGAAATTGTAATAGACCTTGCTATGCCGTAACGTGCTGTAATGTAGAGTAAAAGCTTAGGGTATAAGCTGCTGTCGCATACCATGATATTCTCTGAAATACTATAATTTGCTTTGATATTCCATAATAACATACGATCATGCACTTTTGTATACTGCTATGTACTATGAAAGGCGATGGTACCCTACCATATCCTACCATGTACACCAACTCGAAGGATCCTCGTTTGAAAGGTTCCGACGGGCTAGAAGAACCCTGCCGCCCAGGAAGGGCCTCCAATGGAAAAGTGCTACTACTACTACTACTACTACTACTACTACTACTACTACTACTACTACTACTACTACTACTACTACTACTACTACTAACATACTACTAACATACTACTACTACTACTGCTACTACTACTACTACTACTACTACTACTAGTAGTACTAGTCCTAGGTCCTACTACCTCTACTCCTACTCCCCCCCCGGGGGGCCTCCAATGGAAAAGTTCGCCTGGCAAGCTTCGCGATACCAGCCCTGGGCCTCGGCTCTACACAGGGTTTTGGCGCTTCGGGTGATTTGGGGTTCAGAGTTTGGGGCTTTAGGGGCTTAGGGTTTAGGGTGTTGCGGCTTAGGTTTTTAGGATTCAGGGTTGGGGGGTGTTAGTGTTTGGGATGAGGTCTGAAAACTTTAGGGTTTAGAGGTACGGGGCTGGGGGACTAGCACTGGAGTTAGAACCCTCCAACCCTAAACGAAGCCCTGAAACCCTGCAGCCCGAAACCCTAAAAAAACCCTGAATCCCCACCACCACCCTTAGCCCTTCGACTCCTTAGGGTTTAGGGTTTAGGGTTTAGGGTTTAGGGTTTAGGGTTTAGGGTTTAGGGTTACCCGAAAGGAAGAAACCACGTGGAACTCCTAAGCTTCAGAGGATTGCTCTGCCCCGAAAATCCTGCTGCTGTCGGGGTTTGTCAGCACGGAAGCCTGCATGCATAGTAATACCCAGAGAGCCCAAGACCCTTTGATTAAGGCATATAGCTTAAATCATACTATGACTCCCCTTATTATTCAAATTATATTCCTTAATTGAGGGGTATTGGACTCTCTGGGTACTGCTTTTTGGTGGTTTCTGATTCGGGCATCAAGGCTTGGTCGGCTTCGGTTCAAGTTTGAGCCCGAGGGTTTAGCCACTGGGTTGAAGGTAAGCTATAACCTGCTAGAACATGCGGTAGAATCTTACAACATACTAAATCGCAAAAAAGCTGAATTATGCAATCATCTCCTGTAGTATCTACCCTAAACCCTATACACTTATAGAATCCCTACAGGTCCCTTTAAAGGGACCCTTGAAGGAACACGTATAACTACCCAAAAGATCTTTAAGCTTGGAGGCTCTAGGGTTCGGATCCCTGGCTCCCCAGGCCCCCCATCCAAACCCGAAACCCCGAAAGCTGCCTAACGGTTTAGGGTTTAGGGTTTAGGGTTTAGGGTTTAAGGCCTGCAATTTGGGTCTAGGGTTTTCAATCTTTAGGGTTTGGGGTTTTGGGTTTGTAATTTGGGTTCAGGGCTTAGGGTTTAGAGCCTTTAGGCTTTAGGGTTTAGGGTCTGTAATTTGGGATTTCCGCTTGGGGGTTTCAGGTGTAGGGTTTACGGGCTATTCTTGTGGTTTAGCGGTATGGGGTCTGCGCTATCTCTTGAACTATGGGCCTAAGTACAGCACCGAAGCTTGAACCCTACTTCGACCCGCAGAGCCCAAAAACTGGACGAGGGCTCATGGAACACACGGACGTTGGAAAATCTACATTCCCTGTAGATATGAGTAGGTGAAGCCCTTCGGCTAAACCCCCAAGTTTGAAGGAACCCTAAAGACTCTAAACCCTAAACCCAAACTGCAGACCCTACATCTCTAAACCCTAAAGACGGCAAACCCTAAACCCAAATTGCGGAGCCTAAACCCTAAACCCTAAAGACTCCTAAACCCTAAACCCAAGTTGCCGACCCCTAAAACTGAAACCTGGAACCCCAGAGTCAAACTCGGAAACTCCAAAAAACCCTAAGCCACGCAGGAACTCCAAGCCGGATTTCTAGCGGTTTAGAGTTTAGGGTTTAGGGTTTAGGGCCCTAAAGCTAAACCCCGAAGCCCTAAACCTTACCTTAACCCCAAATAACCTATATACTACTTTAAGGACGTATACGACGAAATCATACTAGGCAACCCCAGAAACTATACCCCCCTTAGAACTCTTGGGTTTTATATGAACAAAAATAAACGATAATTCCTCAGGAAACCATAGGAAAAAGGCAGGCTTTTTGGGTTCCGGGTAAGCCCTGAACCCCCGAGGTCTCTGCCAGCTGCCCCGCTTTGGCCGCTCCATCCGGATCGCTCAACCTGGGCACCCCAGATGGAGAGCAAGGGCAGCAGCCAAGCTTTAGGGTTTAGCACCTCCTGAGCTCGTAAACCCTAAAGCCCTTGTAGAACCCTTATTGCGCTCTCAGTACTCCCAACACTCCCCTTGTAAAGCCGTCAAGGGACCCATGTAGAACCACTACACGCACCCCCCCCCCCCCCAAAAAAAAAAAAAAAAAGCCCTGAACCCCAAACCCTAAAACCCGTCCCATTTAGTGAATTCCTGCGCTTGTATGGCAATTGGCCTGACGTGTCACTCCTGCCTAGCCCCTACCTGTCACAGTGTGTAGCTCCGGCCACGCATGCTTGCAACCAAATGGCTGCCTCTGGCGTCGGTAAGCATGTAGGAGTCCTCGGGCGGGGTACCCCACTGAACGTTGTACAAAACGTTCGTTCCATCAACGTAAACCATTCCTCGCCATTGCCACTCCACCCGCGAACGACCACCAAAGGACTTCATTAAGTCCTTCGTGCGGAGAGTAGCCCGGATTGCACCAGTTGCGTTGCACCCAAAGCTCTGCCTGCTCCCGGCCTTTCATGGCACTCTTGGTGAACCGCAGCTTCATCACATGCAGGACATCGGCTTGGATGCGCCTCCTCGCAAAGCAGCCCTGAACCCCAAAAACCACCAAACCTTTAAACCCCTAAACCCTAAACCCTGAACCCCTAAACCCTAAACCCTGAACCCTCAACCCCAAAAGGCCCGCCCAAAACAAAGAAAACTGAACCCCAAGCCTGCTGAAGCCTGAACCCTACATCAAACAAACCCTGAACCGGAAATCCCTAAGCCCGAAGTAGATACAAAAGGCAAGTAATACGAAAGATCCACCCATGGCAGGGATTTGTAAACCCACAAAAGTTAAAGGTTACCCACCCAGCCCTTCAGAATACAAAAAAACTAAACCCTAAACCCCGAAACCCTAAAAGAAACTCAACCTCTAAACCCCCAAACCCTTAAACCCCTAAACCTCAAAAACCCCAAAAACCCCCAAACCCCCAAACCACACCTAAACCCCTAACCGCCTAAACCCTTAAACCCGTCGAAGCCCCGGGCAGCGGATTTAGCTGGTCGATCTCGCTCTGGAGCCTCTGCGCCACCTCGCTTTTGGCGGCTTTTGGGGAGGTTTCGTTGGATTTCAAGGGGCCTGAAAAAAAACTAGACTAGGGTTTTGGTGTTTTTTTCGTTTTCTGTATAATAGGGAACCCTCAGAATTATACTGGGGAGCCTCGAAGGCAGTGAGGGCTTAGGGGGGCTGATTTAGGGTTTGGGGGGTTAAGGGTTTAGGTGCTTGGGGCTTATAGGGTTTGGGGGCTTAGGGGTTTGGGGTTTAGGGGTTCTTGGTTCCTTTAAGGGCTCTTTTGAGGGCTCCTTTAAGGGTTCTATAAGGATTGAAGCTCTTTTTTGTGGAAGGCCCTTGGTCGAATCTGCTGCAGATCCAGCAACCCTGGTTAGGGTTCAGGGCTGTAGGGCTCGGGGTGGAGGGTTCAGGGCTTTAGAGTTTAGGATATGGAGTTTTGGTGGCTCAAGGGTTCTAAACGGGCTAATCGAAGATAGCGATCAGGGTTCTATGAGTGTTCTTTATTGCTTCTACAGGGTCTCTATACCGTTTAGGGTTTGGTGTTTGGGCGCCTTGAAACCTGAACCGCAAATGCTAAACGCCTGGGGCCTAAGGCCTGGGTGTCGAGGATGGTCCAGAGGTCGACGGCCTTCATATGGGTTTGGGGTTGAGGGTTTAGGGTTTAGGGTTTAGGGTTTAGGGTTTAGGGTTTAGGGTTTAGGGTTTAGGGTTGAGGGTTTAGGGTTTAGGGCTTTCTATAGATCTTGCTGAGAGTTCTGAAAGGGCTCTGCAAATGTTCCATCCTCAAACACCTGACACCAAAAACCCAAACCAAAAAAACTCGCCGGTTCTTAGTAGGGAATGGGAGAATGGATCCCTACTTCAAGGTCCCTTATAAAATAACTCCTTCCCACCGTTCCCTCCTAAGAACCAGGAAGAATGACTGAAGCCCATGTTATAGCCCAAAGCCCAAAACTGACTTCCCAAGCCGAAGCCCAAGTAATACAGGGGCCTTAACAGTTCGAATGGGGTTTGGGGGGTGTATTACAAACACGGAACCCCCAAACTAGTATTGGTAATTATTTAGGCCCCCAAATAAATCACTGCGCCTGCGTCACCGTGACGTCGAGGTTGGCGTCGAAAAAGTCTGGCAAAAAGGCTTTTGACGAAGGTGTTACAATGGCAATTTTCTTGCAAAATCGTTCAGGGCTTCTTGCAAGGATTCTTGCCAAGGACTTTGGGTTGTAGAGATCTAGCGAAACTTGTATGATGAAGTTGCCGGGCCTTACATGGCTCTATCAGGGTTCTACAGTGCTTTGTGATGGTCTGTCTGGTTCTTAGTAGGGAATGGGGGAATGGATCCCTATAGTAGTCCCTATATAATCCCGAATAATAGTCTCCATAATCCTTTGCCAAGTCCCTGCTAAGAACCAGATAGTGGTTGCATGAGGGTTGCACGCGGGTGGTGTTGCGAGGCATGGCTTGGGGGTGTGAAGCTTAGGTTTGGGAGAACGAGGCCGAGGCTCAAGGGATTCTCGCTCGACGCAGCCAACTGTTTGCATGCCTGAAGACACAGACTCCACCAGTACCTGTAGCTGCGATCCAGAGAACATACCCCACAGCTCCCACTCTTTTTCTCCGTCAGCCGGAGGAGCTGCGACTACCTCCGGCAGCGAAGTTGGACGAAAGAAGCTGATGACTTTGCCGACGCTGTTCTCGTAGTAGGTAGTCCCGTCATCGAGCCGCACAAACACCCGGTTGTTTACAGGAGGAACTGTGATGGCCACCGGAGACACCAGGACCTGTGCGATTTATGCTTATGAGTTTAGGAATCACTGGACTAAGGTTCCCTGTGAAGGGGTCTATAAGGGTTACTATGAGGGATCTATAAGATGGTTGTGAAATATAGGTGCCTTAATAATTAGAGGGTTTAGGGTCCCCTTATACAGCAAACATATTAAGGAACCCCCAAAACAGTGCAGGTAAGTATTTACGCCCCTAAATTATGCAAGGGGTTTCAAGAGGGTTTCGGCATACTCAACCGCCGAATCCCGGTCGCAAGTACTGTGAGAGCGGCTTAGGGTCTGGATTCAGAATTTTGGGCTTTTGGGTCCAGGCTTAAGGGCTAGAGGCTCGGGTTTAGGGGTTTTTTAGGGTTTCGGGTTTTTGGGTCTTTGGGTTTAGGGTTTAGGGTTTAGGGTTTAGGGGTTTAGGGGATTAGGGGTTTAGGGGTTTAGGGGTTTAAGGGTTTAGGAATTTAGGGGTTTAGGGGTTTAAGGGTTTAGGGTTTAGGGTTTAGGGGTTTAGGGGTTTAGGGTTTAGGGTCTAGGGTTTAGGGGTTTAGGGGATTAGGGGTTTAGGGTCCTTTCGGGGAGGTCGTCAAGATGCTGCTTAGGACAAGCCCCACCCACACGGCGCCGCCATGGGTTCTTAAACGTCTGCGTTCCTGCCTGGGGCCCCGATTGAGGAGCTAAGCCTTAAGCCAATCAAGAATAAGGAACCCAAACTCTAAATCCTAGCACCCCTAAACCCTAAACCCCTAAAGAGGATCCCATTATAGACCCCTACAGGACCCCCTTAAAGCCCTAAGCCCAAGGCCCCAGGCTCATCTCCATGACATCCCTCACAGAAAGCTCCAAAGGCCCCCGTAATTAAGGAATATTCCGTAAATCATCATATGATTCCCCTTACAAGTTACGGCATATTGCTTCATTAAGGAATATTCCGTAAATCATAATATGAATCCCCTTATAAGTTACGATAGATTCCTTCATTAAGGAATATTTCGTAAATCATCATGGTATACTCCTTAATTAAGGAATATTTTGTGAATCATCATATGAATCCCCTTATAGTTTACGGCATATTCCTTAATTGAGGGGTTGTACGTGACCATCGGGGGGACTCCGGAGCTCTCAAAAGACTAGGGTTCCTTTCAAGGGGTGACCTTTTTCAAGTTGCCATAACTTATGGTTCCCTTGCGGGTTCTACAAGGGTTTAGGGTTTAGGTTCTTGTTAAAGGAATTAAATTTAAACTACCATAATAAGGTAACCTTACTATTTACGAAAGATCCCTATTATGGTAGCTAAGACATTAAGCTCCTTCGCAAGAACCCAGTTTCATAGGGCTTGGTCGGCTGAGGGATTTCAGGGTTTTACAAGGGTCCCACGGGTCCCAAAAGGGTGCTACGAGTATCAGGGGCGATGAAAATCAAAATGACAAGACTGCGGGGTTTGACTGGGGGGGACTGTGTCTACAAGGCTGACTGATAGCAGACTAATATTTCCACTTTTTGAGTATGCCCACACTGAAACCCAAGACGAAATAGACGACACGGTCCTTCAAACCATTCTTGAAGTCCCCAAACCCTACAACTCTACAACTCTAAACCCTTACAGTTTTGCACGCTGAACCCTAAACCCTGCCAAAATACTGTAAAGCCTGCGTTAAACGCGCGCATAAAAACCTTTATGAAAACCCACGCGAACACACACACACACAAATCCCTTCTAATGACTTGTAAAGGCCCTGCACAAACCCTAACCCTGAAGCTACACTTATGAAGACCCCTGAATACACCCAAAAAGCTTGAAAACGAGCCACCCTAGACTTCCTAAACCTTTCCAAACCCAAAAGTCGAAACCAGACCCGCGCCTGCCCGCAATTGATTCGAATTCCGCGCCAGCTCGCCGCTCTGAGCAAAGCGCCGCGCTTCGTCCAGGAAGGAAGTCCTTGCTGCGGGTTTTGCTAACCAATGGTTTTGGGACCAGAGTAATCTTCCTACTTATTCCGGTGGTTTAGGGTTTAGGGTTTACAATGGTTTCGGGGTTCCCCTTGGCTCTTTAGCTCCTTATTAAGTAGGGGATTATCATCACCCCTGGCTCCTTAGCTCCTCCAATATCAATGGTTAATTTGTACTCTGGATTGTATCAGGGCTTGGTCGTAGGAACTCCCAACAGTGTTTTTGCAGGGTTGTCGAAAGCTTGTTTGCTTCTTGTGGTTGCAGGGCTTTGTAGTGTCGTCACTAGGCCTTTGGGAGGCTTTGGGGGCTTCGGGTCGCAGCGCGCGGGAGCTCCGAACCGGAAACCTCCTTGTACCGGGTTGACAGAATGCCTTGTCTGCTGCTTTTCAATTTTCGCAGCCTCCACCAAATTTCAAGAAACGTATCTGCATAAGTACAACAATTATATACACGCACACGACCAAACCAACACGAACACAAACGCCTATGTAACGGAAAAACAAACCAACACGCACCCGACGTGCCGGGTCCACCTGAGACCCGTCTGAGGGCCGTGCGCGTCGTCGGCCGCGGCAACCGGGTCCAGACCTGAGATCTGAAGGTAGTTATAAGTGGGGGGTTGTAAGCCCCCAAAAAAGATGGGCGATGACTGTTATGACATTAGTTATCTACTTGTAGGTGCTACTTACAACAAAGCTGCTTGTGCGGTCTTAGTTAGGGTGTTTAGGGGTTTATGGTGTAGTGTTTAGGATGTTTAGGGGCTTGAGGCTTAGGGTTTGGGGTTGCCCCTTGTACTGGGTCCTCGTTAAACCTGAGGAAGTTAATTTGAGTTGCCATAATGAGGAACTATTATGGCAACTTGCATTGAACTCCATGACACGAACCCACTATAGGTCTTAATATGGGTATATTAATAGGGTAAGTATAGGGTAAGTATAGGGTAAGTTTGGGTATAGGATCGTAAGCAGGCCTTATTGGTTTTGTCAAGGATGGCTGTTAAACCCGTAAAGCCCTAAACCTTAACCTCAACCCCCAAAACATTCAGATGAACCCCATATAAGCCCTAAACCCTAAACTTCTAAACCCTGAACCCCTAGAACTCTAAACCCCTAAATCCCGAAACCCCTAAACCTCAGCCCCGACTTGCGACCGAATGGCGCAGCAGGGCCTGCGCGAGGTCTGCTTCCCCAGCAGGCAGGGCCAGGACCTGGCGGCACGGTTTAGGGTTTAGGGTTTAGGGGTTTCTTTTGAGCTCCTCTTTCCCAAGAGGCAGCAATTAAGGTTTAGGGTTCAGAGTTTAGGGTTTAGGGTTTTGGGTTCAGGGTTCAGGGTTTAGGGTTCGGGGTTCAGGAGTCAAAGTTTAGGGTTTAGGGTTTAGGGTTCAGAGTGTAGGGTTTAGAGTTCAGGGTTCAGAGTTTAGGAAAGGGGGCCACAAAAAGCACCGACAGTCAGGGTTCTGGTAAGGCTTATGCAAAGGAGTTGTGCGACTACAAGGGTTGACAAAGCACTTTTAGGAATAAAGGGGCTTACAAGTTTTGCTACTCTATACGGGTTCTATGACGATGACGATGACGATGACGATAGTGATAGCAATGGTGATAACAAAGCTGATGGTGATGGTGGCGATGATGATGATAACGATAGCGACGATGACGATGACGATGATGCTGACAACTGTGTTTGCAATGGTTGCGCGGATAAAGATGGCAACAAAGATTCGAACGACAGCGGCAAGGCCACGCATGACCGTGATAGTGGTGGTGGCGGCGGCAACGATTATGAGGATCAGGATGAAGATGAGGATGAAGATGAGGATGAGGATGAGCAGGATGATGAGAATGATGAGAATGATGAGACTAATGAGGATGATGACGATTCTCAATATCGCCATGACGACGACGGCGAGAAATTATAATGATCGAAACGTTCCTTATTTCGTGCTCCGTCTACAGGCTCTCAAGTAAGGGCTCCGTCGTCGAGATCTTCATTCGGGGTCCCTATGGAGGATCGATGCTTTCTGTCATTCAATTCAATAAGGTCTTCAGACGACATTGTCAAAGTCGAGTTTGTTCTTTTCCTCCTGCTTCTATCCTAAAGGCTTGTGGACTCAAGCTTGGCGTCTACGCCAATAGCGACCTTGTGCCCTACAACTCTTCCGAAAAGAGAGGCCGCCAACAGCCCCAAGAATACCCAAGACTACACCCGCTGCAACCTATCCTGTCGGGAGAGCCTTCTTGGTTGAAGACCCTCCCTAAATCGTGTCTGGCGCGGCCACTTCTAAGGCATCAGCGGCAGGTCCAGCGAGGCTATCGGAGCAGAGGGCGTCCTCTTTTGGCCGCGGAAGCAAAAAGCGGAGTTTGGGGCATTGCTCACGGGGTTTTCAAGTCTGCGATTTAGGGTTAGGTTTGAGTCTTAGGGGCGTTAGGCGTTAGTTGCAGAAGAACCCAGAGAGCCCAATGCCCTCAATCAAGGAATTTGGCTTAACTCATAAAAAAAATCCCCTTGCGCTTTAAGGTATATGCCTTAACTAAGGGGTATGGGGCTCTCTGCAAAGAAGCCTGTTGGTGCTGGAGATTTTGGTGCGGAGTTTGTACCATGGCAACAAGTCCTCCAAACAATAGGTGCCGTGCTATATTAGGGACCCAAAAAGGGACCATAATATTGACAACCATGCATTTGGCTTACGGGTTCACGAAGCTCGGGGTGGCTGTCTGAGATCATGCCGTCATATACCGTGGCATACTACAGCATACTGCAACACACAATAGCCTGCGTTCTTGTTAAGGGACTGAATCTAAGTTACCATAATAGGGATCTAAAGTGAATATTATGGTATCCGTGTTATGGTAACTTTAACTAAATCCCTTAACAAGGACCCGGTAGCAAGCTCTCAAATACCGAAGGGAGTCGGACTATCGCTGTGGGCTTGGGTTTAAGTTTTACTGGCAGGGACATCATGTGTTGACGGGTCTGGCAAGGATTCCAGACTTAAGTTTAGGCCTGAGCCAGAATATGGGTGCCCTGAACAATCAAAACAGGGCCTTGGGAGAACTCATACGAGTTTTATGCAAAGGAAGCAGAGCATTGCTTCCAAGAGTTGAAACCCCAATATTGAAATCTTCCAAAACCAACCCTAAACATTCAGGCCCGAGATTCTGGCTTCTCTACTTGGATTTTCATGCGTTGTTATAACTGGGGTCATAAGTCCGTGAAGATGAGTTATAGCTATAGTTGCCCTACCTACAACCCTACTTATGACTGACCATGAACCTCCAAGTAAGTTTGGGGGGATGCAAAATCTCCGAGTCGATTCAATTTCGAAGGCCCGCTGAGTTTGTGCCTCCACCGTCTGGGAAACCCTAAACTCTAAACCCCTAACCCCTAAACCCTAAACCTTAAACCCTAAACCCCTAAACCCTAAACCCTAAACCCTCAACCTAAACCAAAGATCCTAAAGGGAACTCCAAAAAGTTGGAATATGGTTTCAGGGTAGGATACCTTATAATTTACCATAGAAGGGTTAGGATAATCGTATTCCGACATTCTGGCTTTTACCTTAAGGTTTAGGATTCAAGACCAATGTATGATTCTTGCTCGATTGCTTTGGGGTCTACACGATCGGGGTTCAGGGCTGCATAAATTTCAACGACACATGCTGATATACCAAGGTTCTTCCGGCGAGGTCGCCATGAAGGACCAGAAATGTCAAATGTCTGACAAGGGCACCCCCCCATACCCTAAACCTTGCATGCTACACCCAAAGGCCGACACCCTCAAGGGACCGGCCCCTCTTAGAGAAAGGACGCCTAAGATTCGATATGTGGGCCTTAATAACTAGAATAGGGTTTTTGAGCCCAATATACTATAATCACAATAAGGAACCCCCAGAAAATAGTATTGGTAATTATTAAGGCCGCTACATTAAGATCTACAAGACGTGCCCTCCTCAGCCACCTGCATGAGGATCGACTCCTGCTGGGCCAAGTGATACAGTCAGCACAGCGCAAGGCTTCAGGGGTTTGGGGGATTTAAGATTTGAGTTAGGGGTTTAGGGGTTTAAGGGTTTCGGGGTTTAGGGGTTTAGGAGTTTAGGGTTTAGGGGTGAGGGGTTTAGGGTTTAGGGATTCGTCAAGACAATGATGTTCTGCAGTTTCGTGTTCAGGAACAGCCATCCAACTAGGGATTCAAGCTCTTCATAGGGCAGTTGACCCGCTTGCTGCAGTTCTTGTGCTTGGCACCGGCTCGCTCTCAGACGCTCAGGGTGCTGCTTGCGACCAGCTACGAAGAACTTCTAAACCCTAAACCCCCACGTGGCCATAGGCGAGGCTAGTTTTCCGCGGACAACAACATGCAATAACAACCAACAAACATACCTGCATTACCGATGATGGTGGTCAGAGAGACGAAAGCCCTGACGATAGCCACAAACAAGCACGAAGGATCAAGGTTGTCGGATAGCCGTGATCCACCATAATTTGCAAACTCCACAAACCCCTGAAGAAGCACAGCGAAAGCAGGCATCCCTGAAGGGCTCAAGGCTTTAGGGCCTAGCTTAGGATATCGGGTTTAGGGTTTAGGGTTTAGGGTTTAGGGTTTAGGGTTTAGGGTTTAGGGTTTAGGGTTTAGGGTGCCCCTGTGTGGGTGGTTTGAAAGTTCTGGGTCCAGGCTTTCGGGCTTCGGGCGTCCGAATATTGGAGTGGTTGTCAAAATTATGGTCCCTTTTTGGGTGTGTGGTTTTAGGGTGCCGAGAAGGTCGGAGAGGAGCACTCGCAAAAACACCCTCACGCAGCAGAAACCTCATGAAACCGGATAAAGACCCTCAGCAACCCTTGAAAACCTCGGAAAAAGCGACAAAGACAAAGTTGCAACGTGGAAGCATTGAGTTGAACCTTACCGAACAGCCCAAACCCTCCGTGCCGGTTGCTTGTACTATAGGGTCCTTAACAGTGGGAATTGTGTTGATGAAAGCTTAAAGAGGTACCACCAGCGATTATGGAGGAGGTTCGAATCGAGGGGGCTCATCAAGAGAAAACTAGTACGTTGTAGGCTTTGGCTTTCGGAGGAACGAAGCCTCGCATCCTAGTCCAATGCCCTCAGCCGTTTAGGGCGAGAGCTTAGCAGGTACGTCGAGGTTCATGGTTAGTTATAAGTAGGGTCATAAATAAGATAGCTGGAGTAATTATACAAATTACAGGACTTATCACGCCCCATGAACCTCCAAACAGTTCTAATGTTTGCCCATCCTCGGGTTGGGGCCTTAGGGTTTAGGGGTTTAGGAGTTTAGGGTTTATGGCTTAGCACACTGACTCCCAAACCCGCCCTAACCCCGCGAACCCCGAGTCAGCCTGCGGAAATGGGTTTCTCTGCGTGTCCTTCGGGTTGGCGGCTCTCTGAACTTCAGCTTTGGGATTCGGGCTTAGGGTTTAGGGTTTGTGGAGTTTGGGGTACGGTTCAGGGTTTAGGGTTTAAGGTTTAGGGTTTAGGGTTTAGGGTTTGTGGAGTTTGGGGTACGGTTCAGGGTTTAGGGTTTAGGGTTTAGGGTTTAGGGTTTGTGGAGTTTGGGGTTCAGGGCTTAACAATTTAGGGAGACTTTCAGCTGCGGAATTTAGGTTTTGCATGTCGGCTTAAGGTTCACTATGCGGCTAATTTGCCAGTATTTAGGCACAAGGTGTTCTTGGGGATATTGGGGTTTCGGGGTTAGGGATGAGTGGTTAGGATTCAGCGATTTAGGGTTGTGGGATGAAGGATTAGGGCAGGGCTGAAAGTCTAACACTCCACCGCGTGGGATGTCACTTCGGGGTGTCTAAGTCTTGCTCCCTCAACCGCAATCAAAGGTCATTTCGATACCTCGGGCATCGAAACTCGTTCAACCCGCCTGAATAGTGGGAATGTAGTCAATCGTAAAAACAGCAGTCACGCTTCATCTCGTTTTGGGGCTGAATGTCGGGGCCACGAGTAACCAGCAATATTATGCATTACACTTAAAATGCAAACTGCCCCGAATTACACTTATAACGTAAACTGCCCCCAGATATCTTTCTGACCAATACAGGCCCCTTATACCTATACAACATATATGACTTGCTGTTGGGAGGGGCATGGTTGGTTTTTCCCGCCTGGTTCCACAAGAACATATGATACTTGTTTTCTGTAGCTGTGCCTTGGGTGTCTCCCGAAATGACTAGAGTTCAGGGTTTGGGGTTGCGGGTTTAAGTTCGGCTGGGATACTTGCATCTCTTCAGCTCCATGCTGTTTAAACCCCACGAAGCCTCAAGCAAAGCTGTTCCCAAAGCCACGACAAGGAAAAGTCGGCTAAGTGCCCATGCAGCCTTACAGAATGCATTTTGGCCGTCCTCAGTTATGCAACCGAAAGCTTTCAAGAGTCTAAGCCTGATGCGCTACAAAACTGGGGATGGCCACACGGTCTAAGGTTTAGGGCCTAAGCTATCATGAGCATTCATTTAAGCCTTAGGGTGTAGGGTTTCCGAGCTTGTGCGAACTGTCCATCGGTCTTGTAATATGCTTTAGAACTATAGTTATCCTACATATAACCCTACTTATAACTGTTCTTAGTTGAAAACAGTTTTCAACCAAGAACAGACTTTCAGCCCTACTTAGAACTAACCTTGAACCCCCCCAAGTGGACTTCGAGTCCCAGGAGTCTCGCCAGCCTCCCACTGCCTGCGGCTCGCGTTGTTGTCCGTAAGTGCCTCAGAGCCACGGTTTAGGGTTTAGGGTTTAGGGTTTAGGGGGAGCCGGGTGCTGGTCGGAAGTGTGGGGTTTAGGGTTTTGGGTTTTTGGGTTTAGGGCTATCGATGTTCTCGGTTTTTCGGTTGGGAGCCCATGGGCTTTCCACATTTTGCCGACCACAGGCTGAAAAGCGCTGTCACCCTTAATCAAATAATTGCCAATGTTATTCCTTGGGGTTCCTTGTGATAAGTATAGTATAAGGAGCCCAAAGCCCTATTCTAATTACTAAGGCCTCTACTTCATACTCACGCGCTGCGGTCTGACATGTCTGACAATAGACAACCCCCAAACCACCTCTTGCAACCCATCCAAGCTGAGTCGTAAAACTAGTTTTTTCAAACCCTGCAAGCTGCACGCGACATCCAAAAAGAAAAGCCGTCGGTAAACCTAACCAATGAACCCTAAAAACCCGAACCTCGAGCCCTAAACCATGTAGATCCCTGCTGGAAGCCGGTAGCCCAAGTTCTTATAGAAACTCTTGCAAGTCCCTTCCAAATACTGTAAAAGCACCCTGCACAACCTGCATGAGGCCCTACAAAACCGCATACCAATTGAAACCCTGCAAACACCCTGTACAACTCCTATCAAAACCGCCCAAAAGCAGCCTCAAAAAACTCCAGAAGACTGTAAAATCACTGTCACATCCAGTTGAAGAAGAACCACACATGCTTTGACTATTGCAAAACCCATACCGATGCCTGCGAAACCCTAAAACTCTCTTATGGGGGCTTCAATCGCTAGATTTCGGTGTTGGGCAGTATTGCTGACTATAGTTGAAAAAAGGGACTTCTCTAGGGAATGATATTGGAATCACTCCGACCTCTAATTTAATCCCTAAACCCTATCTCCAAAATCCTAATAGAATTGAGGGAACCTTCATAGAAACCTCAAAGGAACCCTTACAGAAACCTCACAGGAACACTTCCAGAAACCCTGAAGGAACCCTCCAAGTGACCCTACGACATTATAGAACCCCTAAAGGAATCCTTACAGAAGCTTCAAAGGAACCCTTCTAGAACCCTTTGAAGGAACCCGTAAAGAGACCCTAAACCCTAAACGTTTCCACAGTCCTTAAACCCTAGACCCTAAACCCTGAACGTTTCCACAGTCCCTAAACCCTAAACCCTAAACCCTAAAAGTTTCCACAGTCCCTAAACCCTAAACCCCAAACCCTAAAAGTTTCCACAATCCCTAAACCCTAAACCCTAAACGCTGAACTCTGCCCCGGGCCTTCGAGTCCAGAGCCTCGCCCATGAAGGAGGAGCCGATAGGCGTCAGCCTCAGATCCAGGCATTGAAGGTTTTGGGGTTTCCGTTGAAGACTTCCTTTCGAAGGTTCCTCGAAGCGTTCCTAGAATCAAGGGTTTTGGGCCTTGGGGAAAAGGTTTTTGGGGGAGTCAGCGTTTAGTGATTTGGGATTCAGGGTCGGGTCTTTGGGCTGGGGGTTTTGGGTGTTCAGGTTTTCTGGCCTAGGGAATAAGGTTTGGCTTCACGGTTCGGACGTTTGTGCCTTCTTCGGCCTTTGGAGTTCTGGGGCCGGGGGGTTTAGGGCTCGACCTATGCACGTGCGAAAGTTGAAAACAGTTTCCGAAGTACACACCTTCAACACCCTGAGATGAAACCTTGTCTTGAAGCGGCCCTCTAAACACTGCAACAAAGAGACATTGCTACCTCAGCCATGAATCTTCAACCCTAAACGCTCAATTTCACGGCGCCTTTCTCCGAGCTCACGAAAAAGTCAAACGGTCCCCGACGCAGTCCACAAGCCCGAATCTGTATTTGCACATATTCATGTTCATATATATATATATATATATATATATATATATATATGTATACACACACATATCTCTTTACCTATATCCACACGTAAAAATGTGTACAGAGTGTATTTATACATATGCACCTATGCAATGTGTATGCCTACAGTACGCTGTTAGGATTGGCCCTTTGCTGCCCCAACACACATGAAACCCATGAGCCATGAACCTGAGCCCGCTGAAAACAAAGCCCTCCACGCCCAAGCACAAAACTTGAGGCCCTTAGCTAAGTTTAGGGTTTAGGGTTTAGGGTTTAGGGAATATATGCCTCAAACTCGTAGGGGGTCCTCCTCGTGATTCAAGGTGTGCTCTTTCACAAATGAGCTCGGGGAGTGTCTGGGATGCCCAGCACAACCCTTAATTAGGGTTAATATAGGGGCCTTAAAGGAAATAAGGAACCCCCAAAGCCTCATTTTAATCCTTCAAGAAGCACTACATTCCATGGAAAGGCATCCCCCAGCTCAACTCGGGCCGACGCAAATTGTTCCTGTAGTAGTTTGGACCAACCCTTCACAGGCAACGGTGTGCTGGGGTTTAGGTTTAGGTCTCAAGATTCTGGCTTAGGGTTTGGGGCTCAACTGACTTCTCTCCGTGCGTTGGCGCTGCGGTCCCGGAACTCAAAAACCTTGAAGCCTGGGAATGGAGCCCCTAAATCACTGAACCCAAAACCCTAAGGCCGTTGTGGCAACTATTGAACAGTATATGGGAGTTTCCGAAAATAGGCGACCCTAATATAGTACCCTAAGTAGTAGGATCCCTATTATAAGGACCCCAAAATAAGTTACCCCCAATTTTCGGAAACTCCCATATACGTACATTAACCCAGGCCCCAAGCAGTCGGGGTTTCCATTCCTTCGGTGGGGTTGAGCCTGCCTTTGGTTTGGAAGAGTCAGGGGCCGATGTGGCCTGTAAGAGAAAGTTGTTCAAGCGCTGGAAGGGGTTTCATAATCCTGGATCCACCCTAAACCCTTGACCCCAAAACCCTAAACCCCTAAACCCTCAACCCCTACACCTCTACACCTCTACACCCCTAAAGCCGCAAACAAACACACCCCAAGGACTCCGGGCACCCGACACCAAGTTCAAAACTTCGGAACCCAAGTTTACAGTCTGGGTTGAAGGTCTATTTTTCTAAGAACCAGAGCCTTGGGCTTGAAGGTCTAAGGTTAGGCGTACGGTCCATGATGTATGATTTAAGACTTCAGACATAGGGTTCAAGGACCTCGGGCTTAGGCTTTAGGGTTGCAGGTTCCAGCTGTGAGAACTGGGACTGAAGCTTCTAAAGTTGAAGTTGTGAAAAGTCTAAGAACTAGGGTTCAAGGTTACGTTATGAAAGTTAGCATTCAGGGCATAAGTCGGTTGAGGTTTGAGAACTGAGGTTTAGGGTTAGAGCTCGCCCGGCGAAAGAAACGGCAATGGCCGAGTTGAACGGTCTCCTAAGACTGCAAGGGCGCCACGGACGGTACTAAGAATGCAACAACACTGCGGACGATGCTGATGTGACGACGGCGACAGCTGCAAGCCTACTAAGGACACGGTGGGTGATGCTTAAGATCATCGCAGCAATGGTACTCGCAGTATGTAACCATGCTTGTACTAAGAAATAGGCAACAAATAAGAACAAGGCCTACAAGAACGGTGACAAAGACAAGAAACTAACTGCAAGTGTGGGGTACTGTTTCAAGAACCATCAATCGAAGACGGAACTTTTTCGATCGCAGCAGCTTCGAATTTCTGAACAATCGCACCGAAAGGGAAGAGAGTCGATACCCTTCCTTCTACATGGGAGTTTCCATGTACCTTATTTTGGGGTCCTTATAATAAGGGTCCTACTGTTTAAAGTACTATGTTAGTGTCCCATATTTTCGGAAACCCGAACATGAACGCGGACATCACTTCGGCCCTTAGCCAGAACCAGACTTAGGGATTGCACGTTGACTGGTTCCCTTTAAAGGGCTCTGTATAAGGGCTACTATAAGGGATCTATAATTATGGATACTATAGTATAGGGGCCTTAATACTTGGGTCCCGGGCGTAACGGGCTCGTACACAGAGCGGACGTACACCTGCCAGACGTAGGCTCTCTCTTCAATGCTGCTTCTGGCAGGACCCAGAGAGCCCGAGGGGCCCCTTAATTAAGGAATATACCCTAAACTATAAGGGGGTTCATATTCTGATTTACGCTATATTCCATGATTAAGGAATATACCTTAAAGTATAAAGGGGGTTCATATTCTGATTTAAGCTATATTCCTTAATTAAGAGGCCCCTTGGGCTCACTGGGGATGCACATGCCCGGGGTTTAGGCCCCTAAACCCTAAACCCTAAACCCAGGTTTTAGGCGGCTTTAGGCTTCTGGGTGGAGAGTTGCTTTTCCAGCCAATAGCTGCTCGAAGCTTCGGGGGCAAACGTCCCTCACAGGGGGCAATAGTAATCAATTCAGACCTCAGTTTAGGGTTTCGGGTTTCGGGTGCAGGGTTTCGGGTGGTAGGGTTTAGGGTATAGGGTTTAGGGTTTAGGGTTTAGGGTGTAGGGTGTAGGGTTTAGGGTGTAGGGTTTAGGGTGGTAGGGTTTAGGGTTTAGGGTTTAGGGAATTCAGACCTCATAACACTTTATGATGATTCATACTACCCAAGACTATTCAACGCTTGTCATTGAACCCCAGACCCCAAAACACGTGAGGTTGCAGGACGATGGGCCGACAGGGTTTTGAAGGTTCCCATAAGGGCTGCTGCAAGGCTTACCGGAAGGCGGAAAGGCCCTGAAGAAATTGTTGGAGTCTCGGCTTGAAATGCACTTCAGTCCTGAACCCTGCACCACGACTCGAACAGAACCCTCACGGAACCCAACCCTCAACCCTAAAACTACAAAACGAGGGACCCCAGCGCCTTCCTAAGAAGGAAACCCTAAGACTAAAGCCCTAACCCCAAAACAAAAGCCTTAACTTACCTTTGGTTAGCAGGGAATGGAGGAATGGGGTACAATTGCAACTACCATTACTACCATTCTTCCGTTCCCTACTAACCAAAGGTAAGTAAAGACTGGGGTCCGAACCAGCAGTGCGAAGAGTACGAGGGGCAGAGCCATCCTCGGAAACTCGCTGCTTTGGGCGTTCAGGTCTAAGTTTAAGGCTTTAAACTTAAGTTTAAGGCTTTAGGTTTGTTTAGGTTTAAGGCTTTAGGTGTAAGTATAAAGCTTTAGGTTTAAGTTTAAGGCTTTAGGTTTAAGTTCACGGCTTTAAACTTAAGGTTTAGGGCTTTGGATGTAAGGATTGGCGCTTCGTGTGTGGACATTACGAGGGGCCGGGCTAGACAGTCTCGGGAGGATGGGCTCTAGGTGTCTATAGCGCGCGGCCTGATGGTCGAAGATAATATCCCCTGAAAGCCCCTATATATTGGCCGTATGGTATTCCCCGAAACCGTGTTCGAATGCTGAAGGCCCCTGTTCGCCACGATGAGCTTCGGCCTTCTGGGTGCGACATGGGCTTTGGCTAGAGGCCTTTAGGTTGCGGGCTTTGTGGGGCTTTGCGACAAACCCGCGTGAGCATAAATCATCCTGAATCTACTCATCCTACTCTAGGGTTTAGATGGGTTGCAGCTTAGGATGCTGGGCTTAGGGTTCGAGTTTTACGGTTTGGGATTGGGGCTCAGGGCCTTACACCCATGTGCTAGCGAGGAAAGTTCTGACAGGGACACTAAGGTACCAGTTTAGGGTTTAGGGTTACCATCTATGCCATTCTGTCAACTGTGATCATCGTCATCGACATCATCGTCATCGTCTTGTGCATTGCAAGCATGATTGAAACCGCGAGTAACCCAGTATCATGACAATCAGCTGCTCAGTCAATTGCGGTAACCGCCAGAAGGAGAAACGTGAGTTTCTGGCCCTCAGCTGACTCCACAACAGAGGATGGCACTCGAAGAAGGTCGCACATGGCCGGCGGCTTTTGACTAGGACATTTTTTCCTGGCACGGGTCGAGGCGCTTGAAGCCCGTACCGGCGAATGACTCCGAAGATATCTTCAGATCTACAGCTTTAGGACCCCAACTTGAATTCGCTCAGCCTACATCTGGAATCCGCTGCCCTGAAACCCTGTGCACCACATCAATCCCAGCAAATTGAGGATTGCGATGCTGACTATGACCCATGACTACTGCGAGGATTGATGCACCCCGGCGGCTGCTAGCTACTATGACGACGGATCCTCCTGATGGTACATTAGAGCTTGATGTTCTCCTGTATGCTGCACTCGATCACTACTACATGCCACTTTTGACCCAAATGACGATTGTGAAAATGAGCCATGATGGTGTTACGACTACTACTACGACTACTACTACTACGACTACGACTACGACTACGACTACGACTACGACTACGACTACGACTACGACTACTACTACTACTACTACTACTACTACTACTACTACTACTACTACTACTACTACTACTACTACTACTACTACTGCTATTGCTGCTATTACTGCTATTACTGCTAGTACAGTACACTGCCAGTACTGCTACTACATCTACTACCACTACCACTACTGCCACAACTACCTGCTACAACCACAACTGCTACCACAACTGCGACTACTACGACGACTACTATACTACTACTCCTGCTCCTGAAACGTCTCCTTCTCCTACCCCTACCCCTACTCCTACCCCTGCCCCCCTACTCCTACCCCTACCCCTACCCCTACCCCTACCCCTACCCCCACTCCGACTCCTACTGCTTCTGCTACTGCTACTGCTACCGCCACCGCTACTGCTACTGCTGCTGCTGCTGCTGCTGTACGAACTCCTAAATTCAAATGCATCAGTCGACGTCAACGACTACTACTGCTACGACCCAGGCCTGCTACCCAGGCTACTACGCAGGCTACTACTCAGGCTACCCACTCCCCTACCCCCCCCCCACACTATTCCGAAACACAGGAAGGATCGAACCAGCCAGGGCGACGGAAGAGTGAAGTGAACCTGGAGATCTGCTTCCGATTTGGGTTTTGCACCGGCTTAGTGTTTAGGGATACAGGTTTAGGGGTTTAGGGTTAAGGGTTTAGGTCTCAAGCTTTTTCACCTTTCTAGTCCTAGGCTTCTGTTCTCCGCGGGGGGTTTTTTTGCGCGGGAGTCCCTAAACCCTAAAAAACCTCCCGCCAAAGGCACGGTGACAACCTCTCCGCAACGTGGTCGAGAACGCGAGACTTGTTCTCCAAAAAACGCCTTAAGCCCCAAAAGCACAAGGGCCACAGCAAGCCTTCAAGAAACCCTTGCAGGAACGCTCACAGGAACCCTTCTGGCAAGATTTTTCAGTTGCCAGCCCGAGTTTGCAACCCTGATGGGAACCCGCTACCTGTACACATACCCTTAGATTAGAGGTACCTTTGTAGACGCCCTTATAGGATACCCTGAGTGGTGCACCCTTCCACTTGCTCATGGTTACTTATGCGTAGGGTTATAAGTAGGGTAACTATAGCTATAACCTATATTACAGGACTGATAACTACCCCTGAACCTCCAAGCAGAGGTTCTTTATTGTAATACACGATAACATATGAATATACTATCTAGTGCACTTGAACTTCTGAAAAGGACTCCAAGTGGGACCCTGATTTTGGAAAACTACCAAACCTCCCAGCAGTCTCCCCCCGTCAAACCCTAAATCCTCATGTAGGAACCTGATTAAGAAACCCTGGGCCTATAAACCCCCAAATAGCAAGGTTCAAATAAAGCACCCCAGTAAAGGCCCAAGGTTTCTTAATCAGGTTCCTACATTGTGCTGTGGTCTAGTATGGTATCGCAGGTATCTTGTAGTATCTCATAGTATACAGGTATACTGACCTCACACGCCTCAAAACCCTGATAGCACCCACAAAGCCCAAAAACTCCTATATCCCCTAATTCAGGAATAGTCCTTAAATCATATTAGGGATCCTACTATAATTTAGGAAAATATTCCTTAATTAAGGGATATTGGAGTCCCCTAAACTTAAAGGAACCCCTAAGGATCCCTTTAAAGGAACCCCTAGAGATATTGGAGTCTCTGGGAGTGCCCTTTCAAGGAACCCTCAAACTGGGGCTCCCCGCTGCCGGAAGCCGTCTGTGGGCATCGCGGCTGCGCGAGCGCGAGGAAAAGCAGCGCGCAGCGAAAATCTGGTGCCGAGCTACACCTCAAGAGTTAGGGGTTTAGGAGGGCTTAGGGTTTAGGGTACACCTCAAGTTGGAGGTTTAGGGAGTTTAGGGTTTGGGAATTTAGGGTTTAGACGATTGAAGTAAGGGAAGGGTCTCCTAATGGCTTGCAAGTTTCGGCTTAGGGTTCAGGGAGTTTCAGAGTTTAGAGTTCGGAGAAAGCTTCGACTCTTGAGTGGTTTAGAGTTGAGAGAGGGGTTCTAGGTTGTTGGGGGCTGACAGGAACCCTGCTAGGCCCGGCTTTCTAACAGAGCTTTGGTTGACACGTTCATGTTCAGTCTCAAGCCTGACATAGCATAACATAACATGACATAGCATGAAGGTTTTCATTCGGTGCTTCAATATGATAAAGCTTGATCTAATATACTTCCACGAAGTATTCGACGATACCTATGGTATACATCTATCAGATATCACAGTATAGCACAGCATGATGTGTGATGACATGATATGATATGATATGATATGATATGATATGATATGATATGATATGATATGATATGATATGATATGATATGATGGTGTTTGTAAGGCAATGCCGTTAGTCTTGAAAGGTCTTTGCCTCGAGATGTCTTGTCTTGTCAATCTCATCATCGTAAATGCCAAAACCATTTTCCGCAATCCCCATCTTTATTCATACTACCACAAAACAGCAGGAATCGAACTCACACCCACGTAAACGGCCCTACTGTAGACCCTCAAGACCCCAAAGCTTCAAGGCCTCTGCAGAAATCCTGGCCTTAAACTCTAGATCCTCATTAAGGCTCAAACGGAAGATTCCATGTAAGAGATGGTGGGCAGTCTGGTTAAACAGCGGCTTTCTACAGCCTTCGTCAATGGATAAATAAACTTTCCCGCAGCTCAAAAGCCGCCAAGGCCCCCGCGCGGAGCTGCCCTCAAGGCTTCGCCGTGACAGCGTCCAAGCCCGGCCCAGTACTGAACCCGAAGCTCCGAAAACGTGGGATTTCAAAATACAAGAATCTGAATGAAGATACGTCTTTGCACCGTCAAGACAGTGTTGGCTTGTTGAAGGACATCACAACTGACATGAAACAAGAGCAGATTCTGCAATGCATATGGCTGCAGGGAGAGTTCGGTAACCTTGTGTGTGCTGCCATGACATGCTAATTGACAGTTGCCTTCGCGCTTATCCTGTGTTGCGACAAGGTTGTGTCCTACACATGACAGCTGCGAATCATCCATGTTACGGCTAATGTGTTTACCAAAGACTTCAGCTAGATGCGATCGTTGCCAGCAATTGATCAAGCCAGAATCATAACAAGTTCTTGGGATAAGATTTCTCCAATATGCTAGCAGGTCTGCTCCTATATTGATTCTTGACCATGCAACATGTGCAAATTCTTTTGGCTCTTCTCATCAGCAAGGTCTCTTTGGCTTGTCGCAAGAACTGCACTCAAGACATTTCCGCAGCACGAGCCCCGCCATAAGCGGCTTCTCCTGGCACATACGGCGATTGCCAACATGTTTGATGCTGGTATTTGGCTTGATCTCGAAATCTTGCCGGTGCTTTGCACACGACGCGCGACACGCTGCTGCCGCAGGTGTTGCCCCCGTAAAGTTCGCTGTTCGTGTGAACACCCTGAACGTCGCGAGCTGCATCGGGGTGGGTCAGCAGGCTTGCGTGGGAGATTCATCTGTTTCTGTGTGCTACAGCACCTGCGATCGTGGAAAACGTTGAGACCGTTAGGGGGCAGTGGTTGACAAAGGCCTACATCTCATTACCTCAGTAATAAATGGCGGTCTGCAACATCTTTCAGATTTCGGCCGGGGGACCAGCAGTAGAGGACGGACGGATTGGGAGCGAGCTGGGGGCAGCTGCCGGCTTTTGCCCCCACCCAGGCATGCGAGGGCAAGCTCTTCTAAGCCACCACTTCCCGAGCCAGGGCGGCCCTGGAAGTAGGCGATGTCCAGTTCGATCAAGGAAGGAAACGCTCCAGCAACGGCTTCTGCCCCCGTCATGGTGCGACGACGGCTGCGACGTTTGCGAGTTTTAGTTCAGCGCAGCGCGAACCCTGGCACCCTGGCCAGGCGAAGTTTCCTGCTTGCCCGGATCGATTACGAGGGACCTTCATCGCTTCCCAGTGATGGACACCCTCTTTTTGCATCAAACATGCAGTATCCCAAGTCTGCCGCTGGAGAGAAGCGTGGAACATGCTGCACAGTCTGACGTCAGAGCTTCAAAGACTTGGAGAGAAGCTGAGCATTCAATGCGGAGCCACTCAAAAGAAGAGTCTTCGGGCGGTGAGGGAGGGCCGAAAAGCTTCGAGATGCAAGGCATCGGAAGCAATCACTGCTAAAGTCAGTGATGGACACCCTCTTTTTGCATCAAACATGCAGTATCCCAAGTCTGCCGCTGGAGAGAAGCGTGGAACATGCTGCACAGTCTGACGTCAGAGCTTCAAAGACTTGGAGAGAAGCTGAGCATTCAATGCGGAGCCACTCAAAAGAAGAGTCTTCCAATCATGTCACGTTACTCCGACGACTAAAGCGTTCGGAGAAGATCGAAAGCAAAGCGGCTGAGTAGCTGGACAACTCACAGATCCGGGCGCGGTGGCTCTTTGCCAGGTCCGCCAGGAGAAGTTGGCCCGCTACGTCCTGCAAGTAGTATTCCAGTGTGCGGCGCTGCTGCCATCTGCCCCGCCACTGGATGCGCGGAATGTCTTCAGTCAGTTGGTACATCCAGGTAGCGCCTGAGCCGCGTAAGCACTTAGGCGTCACGCCTGAAGGGCCTTCTTCAGTGGGTATGCCCAAGCTCTTGAAGACAGCGTCCCAACGGCTTCGAAAAACGAATGGAGAGCAGCCGAACAAAGGTTGATCCAGCTCGAGGTCGCCGAAGAGAGCGCTCAGAAAACGCACCACTGAAGCGTCAGAGATCTTAGCATGTTGCCTCAACATGTACCTTTTCGTTTTTGCCCCCAGAATGCGCACGTAAGCTAGAGGCAAATCTGACAGTAAGTCCTGAGGCAAGATCAAGTGGCGTCTCCGCAGTTTCAGAAACTCACCCGGTCGAAGCAAAGCGCAAAAACCGATGAGGAGGCCCGCCGCGAAGACAGGCCAGGACCAAAGCAAGGCTACTGCAACTGCCGCCTTGAAAGCGGCGATCGGCAGCACTGCAGATCTTTCGCCTGGCTCTTCCTCTTGCCACCGTGTCAGCACAGCCCAAGCAGCTGGGAAGAAGGTACGGTAGTGCTTGAAGCGATCGCTGCATGCATTGATAGTTTCGGAGAAAATGTACTTAGGCGAGCCCTCGTAGAACAAGAACTTCCCGTAAGCAACCAAAGTAGTGCTAAGCAAAAGACCAGAGGCCGCCACTTGGTCGAAGGAGCAGCACAGTTCGTCAGCCGCCCACTTACAGAAGTCCTGGTACAAAGTTTCACGCCTCGAAGAAACCACTCTCGTAAGCCCACCCGCTGAATCCAGGTTCACATGCTGCCGCTCATCACTCGAGGCCTGGCGGCGGCGAGGCATCAGAACTCAAGAGAGTCAGCAGGCAGACCAAGCGAGCCCAGCCCCCACAGGGTCCGACGCGGTCGTCGGCAAGCTTGACCGCCGCCAAGTAGCGGTCGTCCCCAGCCAGAAAACGCCGAAGCCAGAGAGGAGGCTGACACACCCGTTCACGGAGGGGCTTCAAACGAGACGGATCATCAGCGCAGTTGTCATGGGTGCCCACATGAAAATGATATGGGTAAACGTTGCCACCGATGATGTAGGGTAAGCTGGTGCTCAAGTAGTAATTGAGCTTGGCGCTGCTAGAACGGCCCTTTGTGTTGCAACCTATCACCACCCGGCTGTCAAGGAGAATGGCACACCTACTGTTTGGAGAGCTTCTTGAAATGTACTTGATCAAACTCCGATAAGAAAGCTCCTCATTGATGTTGATGTGATTCACCCTAGCAAAACGGTACTGAAACAGCTTCTTCCACTGCAAGCAGTTGCCTAAGTCGCCGATCCACCGGGGTGGTGACGAAGCAGGTCTCGAAGTCTCACAGTCAGGCTGTCGAAGCAAATGTAAAGATGGAAGCAGCAACTCGAAGACCCTGCGGCAGAACTCCAAAGGGTACGCTCTGGAGAATCGGCTGACAGGATCCCCTACTCGAACATCTCGCCCGAAGACTGCAAGGACACTCGGCTGACACAACTCTGTAAACTGTTTCGCCCCGGCTTCGGTGAAGTGGCTGCCTAGGCGAAGGTGTCTCCCCTGGAGCGGACAAGCGCACTTGGCTCGGAGACGCAAAAGAGCTGGATTGTTGATCAACCAAAGCGAGCGTCCCTCAAAAGGACTCCCGTACTTGCACTTGCAGAACTCGAACTCACAGAATCCCACAGCTTTCAAACTCTTGAAAATCTGAAGTCTGAACATCACGGAGCCCAAGGGTTGATCAGCTGACGCCAGGATACCATAAGCTGCAGCCAGGTTCAAGACAAAGGCTGTACGCATAGCGATTCGGTTACCATGCTTGGTGTGACAGTTGCTCGGGTCAAACCCCCAAGGGCAGCGCTTGCTACGAAGGCGGGGTTTCCACATGGTCCCAAACGTTTCACAAGGGGCCCTCACATGTACATACCCGACGACGCGTCGACAGATAAGTCCCAGAACCTGGTCGAAGCATGCAGAGCTCGCGAAATCATCTGAGGGATCAGCTGAAGAGTCGAAGCCGGGGTGCACTCGCAAGCCCAGCGATTGGCCGACGGCCGAAAGCGCACCCTCACCCCGAAACACCTCCAAAAAGTCGAACAAGATGCCTTCAGTGAGCTGCTGAGGGAGCCCCAAGCTAAGATGATCGGTGTCCTCATGATCTCCAAATCGCGCTGCGAGCTCTGCAGAACTGGGCAGAAGTGACGTGTGGTAGCCTTTGTGGTCAGCGTGCCGCAAAAGTTCCAGGCAAGCTGAACTGCTGAT